ACAGTTTTAATATTTTTACGATTGACATTTGTCAATATATATGATGGACATATATTTTAGTTATTTTAAAGTGAAGACAAGGCATACAATGTACTAGTTTGACGTGAATTGAGTAGCACCTGAAGATGGCATTCTTATGCCGAAACATGTAGTGAAAGTGAAAGAAGAAGATAGATAAGTGTATGCACTGCAAGACGGAATAAACAAATCATGAACTTAAATCAGTGCAACAGGACGCTAAAATATAACATTGTAAATACAGCTTGTTATATGATAAGAAATGTAAAACCAGTGGTGTCTGTAAAAACATTAAAAAGTGTTTATTACTCATATTTCCATTCTGTTATGACATATGGAATAATGTTTTGGGGTAACTCAACACAAGCTGAAAGAGTTTTTAACATACAAAAGAGAGTTATAAGAATAATAATAGGATGTGGTTTCAGAGAGACATGCAGAGAAATGTTTAAGAATATGAATATATTCCCTTTAAGAACACAGTATATATACTCTCTTCTGATGTTTGTAGTAAAAAAAAAAGAAATATTTGACACAAATAGGGATTGCTATGATATAAACACTAGACATAATATGGACATACATATGAGCCAGGTAAATTTGGCGAAATATGGTAATGGGGTAATTCACATGGCCGTAAGGATTTACAATGCACTACCTAATAAAACTGAAGTAATTTCTAATGATATAAATAAGTTTAAAAACAATCTGAAGGAATTTCTGTATTTAAACTCTTTTTATACACTTGATGAATATTTTAAGAGATAATGATTATACAACTAATGTTTTCTAATCTATTTGGATGATATGGCCTACCAGTATGTGGAATGGCAAGTTGTGAATTTGACAGTGGTTTTCCCGCGACCTGTGTGTGTTATCCTGACAACTTGGGCCGTCTGTACGAGGCCTGATTGTATGTTTTATTGGACTAGGGACAAATGATATGTAGTCATCATGAAATTTTAATTTTGTAATTTTATAAATGTAATGTTTTTATATCTTGGATTTGTTATATATGTATAAGATATGTTACTTTTGATGAAAACTTTTATCTTAAATTTTAATCAATGATAAATTTGAATGTATTATGCTAGAGACAAATTGTATTATGATGTAAACATGCATTGTCTTATTTTATAAGTCTTCTTGACAATTGCTTACAAGTATTAACAAGATAAATTGACACAATTCTGTATCTAAGGCTTTTGCCTACTATAGATGTAATGGAATAAGGAAATTAAAAATAAAATAAAAAAATAAAAAGCAGTTAATTTAAAAAACTCGTGGATTCTCTTAACAGTTCTACAAAGAGACAAACAACTTGGCACACGTTTTATTCTTTGGAGTTTGTTTTCTTTTCAACACCTTTGTGGTCTTCGGTCAATAACCGCGGGACCCAACGAGCACAAACTTTCCTATAGCCCAAGCTTTCAATCATCTCCTGTACTGCACTGTGCCCTATTCCAAGTTTTCGCGCGATTGTGTCCACGGTCACACGCCTGTCATCATGAATGATCTCATCAACTCTTTCCTTGTTGCGTTCAGTCGAGGCTGTTCGAGGACGACCGCTCCGAAGCTCATTTCCGATGCTGGTGTTCCCATCTTTAAAATGTTTCACCCATCTTCGAACACTGCTCGCACCCATGCACACACTTCCATAAGCACGCTGAAGTCTCTGGTGAATTTCTGCAGCAGGGATTTCCTCTTTCACAAGAAATTCGATTACAGCACGCTGGCGAAACGAAATATCGTTGTCGGCCATTTTGTTAGGAATGATATTGGTCACGTGATGCAAGCTGTTGACGTCACAAGACACTCAAGGTTAACACAACAGCTGGTTCAACCCACCACCATGCTGTCTTTCGTCTTCTGTTCCCAAGTTGCATGCATAAAGAAGTTGGTCATTAGTTTCGGTACGACCTACGTAAAATTGCAGATAGCAATATACACAATCTCACATCTGAATAACATATCTTATGGCTCTAAACTGATGTTAAATGATTTAATAGTTTATATTCTGCCATTATATCTATACTTATTACAGTCAGGCCTGCTGAGAATCTAGTAATGTAAAAATGTTCATGTTGGTAATAATTTTTGTCTTGTATTATATTAAAAATTTTTCTCTCATCCAGTATGGCTGTTAAGTGATATGTAAGCACGACACAAAGAAAATCAACAGGTTATGGGCCCAGATTTGCTAAAAAAAATGGAAGGAAGGAAGGGGGGGAAAAAAAAGAGAAGACAAGAAGAATCATTCCACAGACTCAAGACTCAACTACATATGTTTCTAAATGGAAAACCAGCAAACATGGAGTTCCACAGGTATCTGTACAGGGACCTTTGTTGTTCAATGTATATATTAATGATCGGCCTAGAATTCTAAATGGGTTGGCACATACAGTTGTGTATGCTGACGACATCACTTTTATTGTCTCTTCACAGGATATTAGTAGCCTTAATAACAAAATAAATTTAGTTATGAGATATTTATATAGATGGTTCCAAGCTAACCAATTAATACTAAATTAAAAAAAGAAAGTAATGAAATTTATGACCCCTAAGGCCATGGACTAACCATTACATATCAAATATAATGACCAAACACTTAAGTTTTCTGTAAATGTTAAGTTCTTAGGTATGTGCCTGGACAGTCATTTCGGCTGGGAAAAATACTCTGGTGAAGTGATAAATAAGTTGAGTGTTGCAACCTTTGTGCTCAGAAAACTACAGCCTATAGTAAGTAGGCAAGTGTTGAAAATGGCTTATTGGCTTATTGTGCGTACTGTCAAGCTCAACTTAAATATGGTGTTATTTTCTGGGGCTCTTCTTCGTCATCAATGAAAAGAGTTTTTGTGGCTCAGAAAAGAGCAATTAGAGCAATGTTAATGATGAGGCCTGGAAGTTCTTGTAAGAGAGGTTTTCAGAGAATTAGGGATACTTACAGTTCCCTGTTTGTTTATATATGCCATGGTCATATTTGTAATTGAAAATGAAAATAATTATCTTACTTCAATGTAAATAGAGAATGATGTAAAATTAAGTTATATTAATTTTTAAGCTAAAATTGCCTGTACTTATGTATGTAACCTTTTGACTTGTTCTGTATCCAAAGGTACTAACCTACTTAGGATTTATAGAATGTAAATAAATTCAATTCAATTCAACAAATAATAGTGTACATAAAATTAACACTAGAGTACAAAATAGACTACACGTCATGTCAGCTAGACTATCCCTTATACAAAAGGGAGTGTATTGTACATCCATAAAAAATTTTAATAATTTGCCACATAAATTATATATTTTAAAGGATAATGTTAATTTATTTAAATGAAAACTGAAAGACTTTCTTATCTTGAAAGCTTTCTATTCTATTGATGAATATATGGCAAATACCTAATTGTATTATATTCCTATTGTATCTAGGTTGTCTCTCTTTGTGCTTGGTTGCATATCGCAACTACTTTTAATTAATCTGACGAGCTCAATATCCGGCCCAATATGGGCAACAGATCTGTGAAGCCATGTATGTATGTATGTATGTATAATGAAAAATGGCAACCACAGAGACAGAAGAGGTAACACATCTGCCAAAACTGAAGGACGCCTACTCATTTCCATTGTGGGATTTTGAAATCAAGATTCTGATGCGTGCAAAAGAACTGATAAACATCGTTGATGGCAGTGACCTGTTAAGTGACCAAGGAAGAGACAAAGAAAATATAAGGAAATGGAAGATGCGAGATGCAAAGTGCCAATACTATATAGTGAGAACGAGAAACACGTGAAGACCCACACTGTGACATGCACAACCGCGAAAAAACATACGACACCTTGAAGCAAATTTATCAGTGAGACATCTCTCAACAGAAGTGCCTTCTGCTACAAGACTTTTACAACTTCAAGTATGACAAAACTAAGGATATGATGACGAATATAAGTCATGTGGAGAACATTGCCTTCAAGCTTCGTCAACTGGACCAAAATGTTGATGAAAACATGATCATGACAAAAATAACAATTCTACCAGAAGACTACACCCACTTCAGCACTGCCTGGGACTCAATGGCAACCATGGACAGAACCCTTGACAACCTGGTGGCCAGATTGATGTTGGAAGAAGTGAAGTGCAAGATGACGACTAAAGAAGAGGAAAGCATAGAATTTGATTTGTTTCATTCTGGTCCGTCACACTAACAATTACAAAGACAAAAACAACTCTGTCTAGTGTGAGTATTTAAGTTTTATTACTTGAAAACTCATCACCCTTACATGTTTCGATCTCTATGGATCATCCTCAGAGGGCATCAATACTTTTTCCGGGAACTACTATCACAATAGGTGTTAAATTATATACATACACACATAATGTCTGAAATAAACAATGTACACAATGTTCAACTTTTCACAATCACAGCAGCCTTCCTGGTATTAACACATTGCGGACTGGTGGTTTAAACTTTTAAATCACCCTGGGGACCGGCGTTTTTAAACCTACTACCCTAACTTGTGCACTGTTCACTTTAAAAATTAATATAAAATCTCCTAATTAATTTTATGAACTGAAATTTTTTGAGAACACTTACCAGAGCTCCTAGAAGTGCTTGCGCATGTGATATCTCTGGAAACATTCCCCTTTGTGAAGAGGCATTACGCAGAATTTGCACATGTAGGCAGTTCTACTCTTCTTCTTGTGCTCTGTGCACACACGGCACTGCCTAGAAGGGTGTTTCTTCTTGCAATATTCACTCTTCACAATTTTCACGAGAATATGTTTCCGCATATCACCCGAGAGTCGGCCAGGGGGGTCTACTTGAGGCCTCTGGCGGGTGCGAACAGATGGCCCCGGCTGCACTACGTCTGTGTCTGACGCAGGTACTGCCACCACCATGACGTCAGTAGCCCAAGCTTTTGCCGGTTTCAACAGAAATGCTTTGTATTTCAAAGCAGAATTTCTGCTCACCTTTTTGAAAACCGTAAATGAATTGAAAATTGCACAGTTTATAAGCCACAGTGCAACTTTCTTCGTCCATTTTACTGTTTTCCTAGGAAGGGAATAATAGGCCAAGAACTGGTCGGCCCTATCAACTCCTTTCATGAACATATTATACTCGGAAATACAAAGAGGCTTCTTTACTTGCCCGTGTCGTCTTTGAACATCGACCATGCTCGAATTGTGAATAGTGGAAACCATATTCACAACGCGAGTATCCCTCCAGGACTGAAGAAGAATGTCCCCCTTCCGTCAAAGAAACTATCTCCAAAAAACAGTGACGCAACTTCAGACACGTCCGTTGGGTCCGATGGCATCTGCTTCACCCCCGGATCACCAGTAAACTTTCCCAAAGTGGGGGTTTTGTCCACTTTATCCCATGTAGCTGTCCCGACACTCGCACTTTCAACAGAGCTCTCACTTTCACTTGACACATTTTGGGCAGCCCTGTGGCCCCCGTCACTGTTACTGTCACTGATAATGGCCTCGCTATCAGAAGATGAAGCAGTTGGCAAATCTGATAGCTCATCGGAGAACATATCTAATATTTCCTGTCCTCCGAGAGATTGCAAATGCTTTCGTCTCTGAGCCATGTTGAACTGGTAGCTGCATGGTTGATAAGTGCAAGCTTGGATTAGAACAAAGCCAATTTTGTTTAGGTTGTGACAGGAAATGACTCTGGTCGAGTTACTAGATAAGGCAGCAATCATTCCCGAGGTCATCTACGCAGTAGTTACGATTCGAAGAAGCCACACAGCGATATATAGCGTTTTGCAACATAATGTGACCGTAGAGGGCCATATGGCCCGCCCGGTCCGCAACGCTTGGAAACGTAGAGGGCCATATGGCCCGTCCGGTCTGCAATGTGTTAAAATTTTTAAATTGGAGACTACCCCCAGGGTTGTATTATCTTATTTCTTACAGTCAGTAACAACATGGAGGATGCAAAAAATTGTAAGGTGCAGCCAACGCTGGTTATGAAATATGTATGGCCATGGACTCTTCGAAAAATATCCTTTGTTCAAGTATTTTCTTTATATAATGTAAAAACAATAAATAGCAATAGCCTATGATAACTAATAAAGCACTGAATCTAGGAATTTGAATTTGTGTACTGAGATAAATAATAAACATGTCTACATATCAGGTATAAAATATTGCTTGTAAGCCAGCAATAAGAAACACAGAATTGGTGCTAATCTTTCAGGTTATATCTAAAAAAATTAAGGTAGACAGAACATGTGCTTAATTTCTTTACAAAAATAAAAAAGAGAAACAAAAATAATAAATCTGTACACTATAAATTTATGAAATTGGAAAGTAAGCTTCAAGAGTTTAGTCAGAAATTCTTGTTATGTATAGTGTGTCTGATTTTGATGATCATGGTGGAACTGAGTTCACTCAGTGGCATATTTCTGCTGCTGTTGTCAGGAAGCCTTCACTTTTCATGCTACTAAACGTTACACAGTAAAACATTTTCAACAAGGATTACTAAGATCTGAACATTATGAAATAATGTCAAAATAAACTGTAACATTTTCTTTACCTTAATGTCATCTAAGATGCTGAAAACATGAGAAAGATCAATCTCAAATGTGTTCACAACCATCACAACAAAATTCGTTACTGCCAAATACATGCTTTCAGTACCATCCAACAGCAACTTACAAATTCCTGATGCCTTCTCTGTAAAGTATGACCTGCAAAAAATCAAGAGAATAAACACTATGAAAAAGTATCTATTTAAATTTCGCTTCACATTAGATCTTTTCTTACCAGTGCCCAAAACAGATGTCACATAGAAATTTATAACTGGGTATACTGGTATTTTTACATGTTGTAAAATTTGTTCAAAAGTTTTGTTTCAGTAGAGTGACCATAGTGGTAACACATCAGTCTTGTTTTCGTTGGGGAATTATTTGATTTGAATTTGATAAGCAACTGGCAATTCTAACTAAAGTTTACTTTTTCCCCTCAGTCCTTTCAGATTAATAATGGGATAGTATTTGAAATAGGGCACAACTTCTTTCTTTCCAATTCAAAATTCATAATGATATTCATGTACAATTTTAAGCCAGGATATGTGAGAGGTTGATAGAACATTTTAAATAGATATACACTGATGATAAATGTGAATCAAAGGAAACTGAGCTTTATGTACATATACCCAAATGTTATGTTGAAATTCTGCAAATGATGAACTGTATAATTATGATATGGATTATTGCACGTTTTGTACTGGAATTATTATTGAATTATAAGTATTTTATAACACTGACCCCTGTGTTACTTCAGTATTTACAGTATCATGTCTTGAGATTACTGAAGTTACATTATAAATTTAGTCCCATCTACTGAGTACTTACGTGAGCTTGCTGACATATGGTTGAATATCCTGCAAATAGAAGTCATTCCTCCTGTACATTCTTTTCAGTTCTTCCCCCATATCCAAGAAGTCCATGTAGATTTCACCTGCTTCAATCATAGAAGTTGAAACTATCTGATCAAACATATCTACAAGCACTGGGTATACAATGTTGCTCTTGTAAGCAAAGTCCTTCAACCAGGCTTCAGAAAAACCACTGCCAATGCTTTGAACCACATGGCTGACATCAGAATATTCCTGTAGGATGCTAGTTTTCAGCTCAGTCAGTGCTCGTGGTTGCCATCTAATCCTTGACCACAGCTGCTGACTTGAGTTTAGTCGTAACATAATCATGGCATCTTGATGTTCAACCCCATATAATACATGCTTAACTCCAAAAGTAACCTCACGACAATGGGGCACCCCAGCATACATCTTGTAACTACAATGGTCTCCGTAGCGTGCCTCCAATTCCGCCCTTGGTTCTGCCAAAAAAATGTTGGCTCTCATATGCAGGGGTTCCTTTTGGTTCATGATAAAATCAACCAATGCAGCATAGTGACCACTGTTGTCAGTCTGTAGCAGACCATGAACCTCAAGCCGATTCTCTGCTGTTCTCACTGAAATCTTCATTTCAGGATGTAGTAAGCTCATTTTCCCCATAAATTCTATAATGTGTTTCTGTCCTGTGTATGAATTCAAGTACTCTGCAGACATCCTACCAATGTTTTCCTTCAAAGTTTGTGCTATTTCTGCACCAATTTTAAAGTCTATGGATGTGGCTACATGATGTAATGAAAATCCCATATTTAATCCTACAGCTGTATTTGTGAGATACTGCACATGTGCTTCCATTGTGATCAAATTCTCAGGTAGGGTAGAATATTCAACTTCAATCTTCACAGCAAAAGGCAAATGATTGTATGATAGTCTGCCATGCTTTTCAATGCGAACCACCAAATCATTCCTCATGGCTACATGCTGCAATACAATTTCCAGAATTGATGAGTAATGCCTAAGTGCAATACCAATTTTCTTATTCCTGTCTTCAAGAGCATCCCACAGAAATTCTGTTCTTATGTCTGCATATATCACAGTATCATGATCCAACCTTGCACTTGCATAGCTCCCTAGTTCAAATGACCTGTGAGGAAGATCTATGCGACCCATAGTCAAAAGAGCAACAACATCAGAAGAAGCATTTATATGTAGAAGAGTTTTGAAACCAATAATATTGTGTTTTGTCCATGAAAGACTACCTGCATACTCAGTGTGTACTGGTGATAACTGCTGAGTAAAATTGAACTTCAAAACACGTGATGGAAGCTTTAAAATGACTGACATTTCTTGTCTGTCATCAGGACCATATGTCATTGCAAAAACAACAACAAACTGTGATCTGCTCAACTGATTCATATCCCAAGCTAATTCTGCTTGTATTATGATATCTTTGCTAGTATCATAAGAACACACAAAATAAGCTGATCTCCACTGGTTCCTTATTTCAGCTCCAAAATGCAAGACCTCATCACTGTAAATATGGAAGCCAAGGAGTTCCTTAGAATTGTAAGTAATGCTTGCAAGAACAGATCTCATTACATTGATTTCCACATAAACCTCAGCATTTTTTAGAACTGTGAGTGGAGAAGTAAGCTGCACTCTCATGACAAATAGTCCAAGCGTATCTCTTTTTGAAGTCCCATAGTTAGCCTCCAGTGTAAATGTCTGCCCAATCAGTTTTAGTGTCATTGTACCTTTGAAAACAATTTCTTCTTTTAAATTTCCTTCTAAAGTGATAGCCAGCTCTTCTTTATTCCAGTGGCCTCCTAAAACACTCCTGAATCTTCCATCTTTCTCTTCAAATTTATTACTGAGCATCAAGGCGACATCTTCCAGAGCAGGTATAAAAGGAATATGAAGCTGACTGACAAGACTCACATCATTATAAGCTTTTAGCTGATAATTCAGTTCAAATCCAAAAGGTTTAGAACTTCCTGGATAGTTAATAGAGATGACAATCAGGTTATATGAGGATGACATATTAACATACATTTTCAGCCCATTTTGTTCATATCCAGAAAATGGAGTTGTGAGTTCTAAAAGAAGAGTACATTTCAGACTTGTATTGATATCAAGACGCTCTTCTGCATCAATACTAATATCAGATAGAGTGTATCTGAGCTCAATTAGGTTGCTATCCCATTCAACACCAATGTGAGTGTAGTTCAATGCACTTGCAATGCCTAACAGATTTTTACCCTTCTGGTTCTTCACATTCACACCATAATGGCCAACGTTGTCACCTAATGGAATATCTATTTCAAATTGGATACCAGGAATAGGAGCATTTTCAGTTTTCAAAGATGCACCCAATTTTCTGAGTTTGTATTGAGCTCCAAATCCTATTTCCTGGATATCTTTCAGATAGACAAATTTTCCATGCAGCGCATATGTGTTGTTCTTCCCAAGATGTAGGGCAATGCAAGGTTTCATGTTGTTGCTAAGACTGAATGGTATCAAAATCTTAGCTCCATAGTTCTCCATGTCTTCCCATGGGGGTACAAATTTGATAGCTGTATCAAGTCCAGCAGAAGAAATGTGGAACTTTGCAGAAAATTCTGTTATCAATATTTCTGATGAGAACTGAGTAGAAAACTCCAAGTCATACTTTCCTCCAGCACTTGGTCTGAAGATTCCACTTATATTTATATACTGAGCAAGAGGCAGTTTTGGTGCTATAAAATTTAAATATGCCATACAATCATTGTGATTTATGGTTCCCTCCAGCATGATATATTCTCCATATGACTTATCACCATGGCCACCATATAAAGTTATAGAATTATTCTCTGTATTCAGAACAAACTTAACCACCTTCTTTGGAAAATATGGGCTCATTATATTTAGCTCAGTGTTCAGTGGCAGTGCCCGTCTATGCCTCAGCATAGCACTGCTTACAGTTTCAAAGAACTCGAACAATGTTTCAGCCTGAATGTCATATCTGTTTACCACAATATAAGCATTGAGGCTCAGGATGGTCTTGAGTAAAGAAATGACCTCTACTTTGACTGATGTCCTTTCCTCAGTACTGTTAATTTCAAATGTAACATGATAACTTTTCATCCCAGCGACATACTTTAGATCTGCAAATATGTTCTCAATATCACATTTGGCTGCAGCAGTCACATTAATTTTTCCATTTGAGATTAGTGGGGACACTAAAGTAAGACTTCCATGAAAACCATTTTCATATGTAAGCTGATAAAAAGCTTCATGTTCCATACCAGAAGCTCTAACTATCAGATGTCCCTCATTTTGCTTTGCTTTCAAACTAACACTGAACATGTTCATTATTTCAAGTTGCACAAACTGCCCGTTCTTTTCCAACAACATCAAGATTTTATGAGTGCCAAGAATCTCACTGTTGACATCCAGTGTCACTTTAAAGACACGATCATCATTCTTGTAAGACATAAGAGCTTTATGAATTATATTACCTTCATATTTACACTGAAAAAAGTTTTGTGGATCCTTCACATTGTAGGCAATTTGGACCATATGATGTACAGGACCTAACAGTGGTTGCACATGGGCAATTCCTTGTGCAGTTACAGTCTCTTGTGTTTTGCTCAAGATAACAGTTACAAAGACAGACTGTGTATTGTATTTATATGAAAATGAACCATGTAGATTGGGACTATGTGAACCTTCAATATCCAAACTAAAGTCTTTAATTTTGAGTAGTGCCGGACTATTAAGTTTAAAATTCACAGTCATTGATGTACTATTGATTTTGTAATAACTTGTGATTATGTCCTCATTGAAGAATAACTTAGTTTTCAATTCAGATTTATGATCATATTCATAGGAGCCTCCCAGGGCTGTGAAGGACTGTGAGTGAGATGTCTGTGTATTCCACTTCACAATGATATCATTTCTAGAAAGAGTGTATGAGCCTTTCACCTTCAATATGGTACTGGTTTTAATTTGGAGATTGGCTTTCACATCCCACAACGTTTTACAAACCAAATTACCCTCCATGAATGGGTGATGGACATTAAATTGACCAAACATGTCCTTTAAATCCAACATGCCTTCAGCACTGAAGGTACTTTCTGTGGTTGTAGGCCCAAATGTAAGTTTTGTAGACATGTTCCTAGGGTCATCAAATTGCAGGATTACATTGAAATTCATTTTATCAAGTACTGGCATGTTAATGGTTATGGAATGCTGCATAAATCCATATCCAATAATGTGATGTACATGAATACTGTTATCATTACCGACTTCCAGCTTCCCTGCAAATGCAAGATGTGTGCTTTCATTCTTCAGTGAACCTAATATTAGTATCTTCTCAAAACCTTCAAATGGCGTCTCTACTTTAATAAACTGATTGCTTGGCAAAAGACTGGCAGAAATATTCACTATCTGGCTTGCACTCCACTGTCCTATAGCTGAAGCAGTGAGATTTGCAGTGTCTAAAGTGGCAGCAAAGGACAAACGTTTCAACAGCGTGACAGAAGGAACTTTCAAGGTAGCTCCAACAGAATATACATATGTCTGAAAATGATAAGAACAATCCAAGTACAATGCTTCAATTGGAATTTCCAGTTTGAGGTAAGCTGATTCATAATCATATTTGATGTCAAATTTAATATTTTCAACTCGTACATATGGGCTCAGTAGAGTAAATTTACATCCAAGATGCCCATGTGTGTGTTCATATTCGCCATTCAAGATGTACAGTTTGTCATTCCATCTCAACTTAAATGTGGCTGACTGACCAATAGTAAGGATTCCATCAGCAGCAATTTCTTGGAAGAAGCTGAATGGTGTTTTGACATATAATCTTCCATCCATTCCTTCTGAGTTTAAAGCTCCATTGATGATAAAACTCAGGGAAACAAATCTGGCTTCAAAATATATCTTTTTAGTTTGATACTCAAAATCATAACCAGTTTTTATAGTCATTTTATGACCATTAAGCTCAGAAGAAAACTTCATAACAAATTTTAAGTCTGTTATAGAATATTCTATTTGTCCTTCCAGTCTTGCTAATTCACTTCCCCTTTGCAAAAGAATTGTAACTACAGGGTTTACCCTATTTTCATATTTACCTGAGAGAGTAAATGGATCTGCCCATGGTGAAAGAAAAAATATTATAAACTCAGGTTTATTTCCATTATCAAGACCACCACTTCCATTGAGAAATATCTTCTTATCTCCCCAGTTTACAGAAATAAGTATTTCCATAATATCTTTTCTGTTCAAGAGGAATTCAGCATTTATATTCTCTAAGCCAGTGAAGGGGGTGTTAATATTAGCTTTCAAAGAGTCAGGTGCATATCTGAAATTAAGTGCTAAATGTTTTGTAGAATCCCATGAGCAGTTCACATTGCCTTCAAGTCCAGATGTCATGTCAAGGTTACCTATGCCATACCAGGTCTTGAGATCTTTGAATGGCAGAGACATGTTACCTTTTAAACCAATATTATTTCTGTTTTTCCACATAGATAACGAGATTTCACCATTTCTCTCCTCTTTCTGTAACAGTATTTTAAACCCCTTGTGTGTTGTATTCATGATGTATTGGTTACTTAGATGAAGAAAAGAATAGTGTCTGACAGGAGTATTTAGAGTAATGGATACTACTGGTAGATAAGGTTTATGAAATGTCAAATTTGAACTTAGGCGATATATATTCTGACTGATTTGGTATTCAATATCTAGTATTTTGCGTTTTGTAGTTAGGTTATAGCCAAGAGAAAAATGGAATTCACCACATCGTGTAATAAATTTAGTGTTATTCAGCATAAAATTTAATGAGATAATTAACTCTGTCCCACCTAAATTTATTTTAGATAATAATTCTATACTGTTATTATTCATTAACTGGTATGTAAGGTGAATTCTATAATTATAAGAAAAGCCTAAATAATGAGCATTTAAAATTTTAACCTCTGTAGCATTATCCAAGTCCACATTTAAATTCAGATTGCAGTAAGGTACATTATTCAGCATTATAAAGAGACCACCATCAAATGCCATCACATTTCTGATATTCCACTGTAACTTGTATGTGGAAGTGTATGGGTACAATTGATGTATATGCACTGGTTTGATGAATGATACTTGAGCCTTAACATTTTTCAGATTACTAATGTTTAGAATAGCATCAATGACAAAATTTAATTCATAACCAAGATTGACTGCAATTTTAGCTGTCTTCATCAAGTGAGTATTTTCCAGGCTCCACATGAACCTGCGTTCTTTTAACTGACCATGTCTGTTCAAAGATCCTAACAGCTCTCCCTGTAGGAAATCAAAATCAATGGTACCTGAAATGTTTGTAGATATGTCCCCTATATCCAGCTTTCCTCCAAAGGTCAATGACTCAGTTATATCATAGAAAAAGTTAGAATTTATCTGTTCTAAATCCTGCAAGGAACTAGATATATCTAACTTTGCTTGTAATATGTTCTCTTTGGACAATAATTCTCCACCAATTTTGAAATGTTGATTACTGACAGTGACATTCAACCTTACTATCTTCTTTGTTTCAGATTTAATGTACTGAGTCTGAACATCAAATTTCTTTAACACTGTGAAAGGAGTGACAGCATACAATGCCAGTTCATCACTACCATCTGCATGATCCGTGCTCATACTGAATCCAATTGTATCATCATTCTTGCTAATAAAAAGCATAGCGGACTTCCTTATATGTTTAACTTTAAAATGGGCAGCCAATGAAAGATTTTCATATCCTTTAAATGGTGTGATAATTTCAGTATCTATAGAATCATGCCCTTGTTTCCACTGGAAAGAGAACTTATCGAATCCTACAATTGGTGATGTGAAAATTGCACTCAAAGTACCAGTAGCTTTATTAAATCTTAAATCACCGATGTACTGCTCAGGGGTGTCTGCTATGGAATCAATATTAAATTTGACATTTTTTTCTCCTGGAGAAAAGTCAATTGATAGGAGTCGTTGCACATGTCCACTCATAAATTTAAGATCATAGGTAAAGCCAGAGAGTTTTTGACCAAAGTCACTTCTCAAGTCAAGAATAGGTATTTCATTTTTCAAGACTGTCATTAGTATCTTAGGTGGAGGGAATACTGGGGTAAAACACAAATTAAAGCTGAGATGTTCGAAATTGTTTGGTAGAAGAGGTGTATTAAGTTCAAACTTGGCATAAATTTCCTTGCTGCAGTCAATAAGTATATGTGAGGATGCTTTCAGAAGAGGCTGTGAGTTTTTGAGTACAGATATAGACAGTGCATATTCTTTTCCTTCCACTGGCATTCCGTTAAAGTCAAGAGTAATAAGAAACCCATACACTGTCTCCAATTGAGTAGTTAAATTAATAACTGCAACATTATTTTCATACTTAAAAGATGACTCCAGTATTGTCAAATGTCCATTCCTCACAACTATTAAATTTTCAGATCTTTCATTGTTTCCAGCATGATATGTATAATGAAATGAAATATCTTCAGCATGTTTGAAAGGTGTTTCAATTCTTATGAGAGTGCCATCATCAGTAAAGGCAACATGGCCTCCAAAATAATTTTTTATATCATTCTTTTCCACTAGGATATTCATATAACAATCCTTAGTTAAGTCATACTTTGCAGCAAGGAACACAGACTCAAATTCTGATACTGGAGTATATACCTGAACCTTAAATTGCCCAATCTTGGAATCAGCTGTTCCAGATATGAATAATTCATATGTGTTGCTTGGATCCAGAGTAATGACCAGTTCTGCAGTTTTTTCATCATGTAACAGGTCATACTGACCATGTAAAGTGATTCGATCTATGCCTGGCACAGTTGTAACAACTTCTGCCAAAATTTTGGAATTAAATGCACCAAATACAGTGGTACTTAGTAACTGGAATGAATGTTCACCAAGCTTCATCTTGAAATTCATATGTTTCTTTTCTTCCTCGTTTCTGAATGACGCAAATAAGTTTATATCTGTGTATTTTTCAATGGGAGTGATTATTTCACCCATGAATCTGTTTCTTTCCAATATTATCTGAATACTAACAACTTTAATTGCATCTTTGTTTACTATAAAACTTACTGAACCAGGAAACATCCTCAGATCATACTCTCCCTTAATCTCAATATGTGGTACCATCAATAATGGTGATATGATATTGGCTGAAATGATGCTGTTCATTTCTTTTAAATTCAAATCGATATTTAATTCACTCTTGCCAGTGGCCATATCCAAATAACCATATAACCTTTCATTAATCGTAGAGTTTAGATGGTCTTCATCATGTCTAATGTAACCAATTCTGGCCTCAATATTTTCATAACCTTTCAGAGGTGTTATTATCACAAGTCTTGCTTCAGTATTAAAAGTGAATGTCCCAGATATCATATAGTCCTCTTGATCTCTTGAGAATGTGACTGTTACACTCTTCTTTTTCTCTTTGGATGCAGAAACAGCTACATTAAACTTCACCTGCTTATATCCACTGACAGGAGACTTAAGCATTGCATCTGCCATCAGAGACCCATCCTTATTGATAAGTAATGCTCCTGCCATTTCGACTACATCCAGGTTACGTGATACAGCTATGTTGACAGTCCTCTCAAGAGTGCTGGGTGTATAACCATATCTCAGGGAAAATGACATTTCTTTCAATTCTTCAAATGGCAGTTCTACTTTAACCTTGCCATTAACTATTCCAGAACCAAATGAGCATTCACTCTCTATAACAAACTTCCAGGAACTTTTAACTAGCTGAAGATCTAGTTTCTTCTCATTTCCTTTTGTATTGTAGGAATAATGAGCTAACATTGTCTCATATCCCTTAAATGGAGTCTTCAAACTGCCTTCTGCCATAATTGCATTTAAGAATGAATCATTATCAACCTGCAGTTTAGCAAGAATTTCAATTCTTTTGTCATTATTATCATAAGCCAGCTCAATAGAATGGTCACTTGAATTTGGGGCACTGTAGGCGCCATAAACAGAGGTACTGTGAAAGCCAAGGATGTGACTTGTCATGGCAACATTAAATTTTGAGGAATAAATATCTGACCTAATCAAACCAGACACCGTGATATCTTCATGGTTTCTTGACAAAGTTATAACTGCCAAGTGAACTGGTTTTGAGATATTTATGTGGCAAGAAAATGATAAATTTTCCCAGTTCTGGAAAGGTGTCTGCACAGTAATGGAACCTTTGTATACATTCCTTCCCAACAGCAAGGATAATCCAAAACCTAATTTTTGGTTTCTATATGTTCCAAGGGCATGAGCTGTTATCTCGGGACCAGTCATGTTATAATCAAAACTTCCATTGGCAGCGTCAGTATCCATATCAGAATGTCTAACGAAAAAGTCCCCTGATGTTTTCATCATGTCAAATTCAAAATTTAAATTAGATTCTATGTGTATTTTCTTATTGTCCCACTGTGTCAGTATCTGCCCTGTTAATTTCTGTTTTGCAATACTGTATGAAGCATTTACAAGAATGGGCTTGTAGAATGCTGAGGTTATCTCCATTTGTAATCTGCTGTGCAACAATTGATACTCAAGATCTATCTCAATCCTTATCTCTTTGGTGTGTCTGAACTGAAAAACAAGGCTTGGTCTAATGTGAAATTCATCATTTGGAAACAAATACAGGATTATGATGGGATCTGTCCAAGGTACATTAAGAACAGCTTTAGCTTCCCTGATTACAAATGACTGAGGATCTTTGATAAAAGTAACTAATCCAGTTGCCTGTTGACCATTAAGGTTAGCTATCATTTCATGTTCTAATCTTACACCATCCACAAAACTTTGCTTATTTTCAATGAAACCTGTCTTGCTTGGTGACTTAAAGTCTAATTTGTTCTTCCAGTTCAGTGAATCATGAATAATGAAAACATTGGTAAGTATTATGTCTCCCGGTAAGTGAAGAGTGGTTTGAAACGTCCCCTGTGAACTTGCATGATGAAATGCTAACTTTACATTTTGTGAAAGAAGTGAACTGTCTGCAGTCATATCAAGATGTATAGACAGAATGTCATCAGTGTTTTCGTATCTACCAACAGCTACAGTACTTATGCTTTTAGTATTCCACTCCCCTCTACAGTTAAATTCTAAGCTTCCTGGTGACAGATAAGTTTCTACTCTTATATTCATATTCTGATTTGGCATTTGTAACCCTGCAGACAGCTGAACATTTGAAAATGAACAGACTTCACCCACCAAATACAAAAATAAAAGGTCCTCTTCTGCCAGACTTACTAAGAGCTTCTCATTAAGCTTTCCATTTTCAATCTGATGGAGTACATCTATCTTCACTTCTTCTGTGAATGGTGTCTTTAGCTGCAATATACCACCAAGAGAAGAGTTAGATTTTGATCCTGAAATATCAATCATAGCCAGATACTCTTTGAAAAGTGCATCGGCTTTCATTCTCAAATGAGTTATGCCATTGTCATCTTGGAAATTCGTAAAATTATATTCAGCAGCAGTAATTTTATAACCAGTGAATGGGGTGGTAATCCGAAAAGTTCCAGCAGCACCATCAACTTTTTTGAAGAAAAATTCAGCAAATATTTTATTTTGTGATGCCCAGTTCATCTCCAAGCTGCCACTAGTTTCCACTGAACTCTCTATAAATTTCAATGTGTATTTCACAAATTCCAAATGCTGAATATGACTATGAAGCTGTATATCTCCAAATAAACTTGATTTGTCAGATTTCCAGTTTGCTTCAAGAGCTGATTCTTTCGTATTGTAGTTGAGAACAGCAAGGGTTTTGATAGTCAGCTGTTCATCAGTACGTGACCTGAAGTCAAGGTCAAAAGAAATGTTAGCAATTGCAGGTACAGTGCTCCATAGATGAGCACCCATTGTCCATCCCCAGAAGTTTGAAACAGTATTTATCTTCTTCATATTTACTGTAAGGTAAAGCTTCTCTTCCTGCCAGGAGGTTTCTACCTGTTATCATAAAATAAACAAAACAGTTGCCACAGAGCTGAAAGTAGATCAGTTCCTACGTTACTGAGCAATTCTAGCAAGAACTACTAGGCATAAATAAATTCTGACAGGCTACCATTAAATATCTTCAGTAGAATTTTTTCAGTGAAGAGTGAAATAAAGCAAATGTTGTAAATATTGTACTTTGGTATAAAATACACATTAAATACTGCTAAGAACACCGGCGATAAAAGCAAATCAATACACTAGGAAATTACAGACTGTACAACACTGTAGTACTTAACAGAATGGAAGACAACTGACATAACCTATATATTTGAAACATTTAAAAAATCTGGGAAAGCTAGTGTAACATTGAAATACGAAAAGAAAAAGAAAAACAGTGCATTGTCAGTCATATAACTGGTTTTGTGAATTTGACTTAAGCTAATACTGACACACATAATTAACTGTTGCACTTTTCTGTGATGAATCCCCATAAATATTTCATGAACAACAGTTTGGTATAGATCTGATTTCTACCAAAATCATGGTGCTTAACAAATACCTGGCTACAACATACTCAAATAATTACTCAGGCCTGCATTATGATTATTATATTTTTCTTTGATCAATGTAAATTTTTTCTTTAATCACGTGACTTGTACAAGTCAAAAACCTGAATATAAAATCATCGTTCTTAATAATTATCAAAGAAAAACAAACCATTTATCATTCAATTTTCTTGATGTACTACCTATGCTCTGATGCTCAGAAAGTATATACAGGAGTGAAATACTTGTGATATTTTAGATAATTCAAAACTATCAGTCAGACCTTAAAGTAGACTGCCATTGCTAGATGTTTCTTTCCATGAGTACTATGGATTCACAGCATGAATTATTTAATTCTAGTACAGATATCATGAAAACTACAGCACTGCAGAATGTGGTTCCCTCAAAACTGAAATAGAAATATTACCAGGTGGCATCAATTAATTTTAACTATGCAACAACATATACTTGCCATACAACATTATACTATTTTGTCAAGTGTTGAAATTCTTCGTTTCAGCCAGAATCATCAAGCAGCTTCATTCACATTCTGTTCTCACTATCTACTTCCACATGTTTCATGCCAATGTTGTCTGCTCATCTCATTCTCTGTCCTCTAAGCAGCTATGTTCCAAGAAGGGTTTCCTCACCAGAACTGTATATTCATAACATCTCTTCCTTATCCTAGTTACATACTCAGCTCATCGTAGTCTCCTGGACTTTGCTACCCTAACAGTATTAGAGAAACTGTTCCTCATTATGTAATATTCTAAATTTCTCAATTCATCCATCTTTCACAGGTCCAAATATTTTCCTGAATCCTATGTTTTCAAAGAGTTGTAATTTATAGTCTTCCCTCAAGATAAGAAATCATGTAACAATTAGTTTACCTTAATCACAATCTTAAGATCAGCTGTACATACCACTAAGACTCCTTCATTCTGAAGCAGGCTGTAGGTGCCAAAGAGACTCAGGAACCTCATTCTAGGAAAGGGAGTATGGAGTTTTGCTGTGATATCGGCATTTCCTTCGTCTAAATTCCACTCCAGTTGAACAGAGATCTTGTGGTTTTCTTCCCATTCCAGAAATCCTGTTACTCCACTGGCTCTGCAGACCAGAGTTATTATCTTTTAATCTCCTTTATGCAAATTCAGCCTATATAAATTCAGTAATATTCACCATAACAAAAATTTTGAAATTGAATTTTTAATGATATATTATGAAAATAGTTTTGTTAGTCTGAGTTATAAAACATTCAAAATACAAGAGAGGAAAAGAAGACTTTTCCACAGGGCTAAATTGATTTACATACATTTACAATGTAACCGTGAATACTGAAAATGTGTGTGCATGCACATGTGTGCACATATTTGCATTAATACTTTAGCTTATGTAAAAATTCAAATCACTTTTGGCAAAGGTCTGGGTTTCATTGTATCTTCATCACCCAAAAGTAAAGCAAGACGTACAACAGCAGTTATGTCTTGTGACAATTTTAATTTCTTCTTCCCCAAATGAAATGGTTTGATGACAGCTGATTCTACAGCCATGTCAGTAAGGGAGGTCACCCTATAAAAATGTAAAGCTATCCCTGTAACAGGCCGCGAAGGCACATAGGGTTGTGAGATGTTGGGCTCCCACATTTTCTGTAGACAACTGACTTGCAGATGGCAGTAAGGTTGTCTGCCTTACGTGCCGGTCACCCTTTACCCCACAAGAAGATTCCTGGTACTCATTTCTGTTAGAAGCTGAGTTGACCCCAGGGCCACAGTGTGGCTGGAAGGATTAGGTAAACTGGAAAAAATCCACCTCATTAGGTGACATTCCAGCTTGTAGCATAGTGCCTCAACCAGCTACACTACTGCATACCCCCGAAATTGTATTATGAAACGAAATCTTTAAAACAACATATAATATTTGTCAAAGTAATTATCTTCTTAAGTAGGAAAAATTAACATGGAAGAAATGCAAATCATGTACATTATTTGTTTCAGTTCAATTCAAATTTCATAACAGTATTTTCTAAACTGTTAAAGTACTTACTTGGTAGATGAACATGCCAACAAATATTATACAAAACATGTTTTTGTTAAAAAATGATACCAAATGTAATATTCTAAATGTTCTACCCTTCCATAAAACTTGAACACATCATCTCAGTACAATAGCATTTGGTATGGCCTGATGTTGGTTGCATCCATTTATGAAACAAAATGTGGTACAGACTGTGATGTGGACTTGACTCTCAGGTTTAACAGAAACACTACAGAAACTGCTTATATAAGGTCATAATGGATGATGAGGAGGAAATAATTTGTAAAAAGTAACTAGGGCATATCTGCAGGCATTGTTCCAAAATCTAACAGCAGAAACATAAAAAAGTTACATATATATTATGTTTTTGGTCATTATCCATCCTCCAGTCCTTATCTAAAAACATCATTTTGTTTATTTTTCAAAACACAGTGTTTCGGATAATGCAGTCTGTCTGCCTTCAGGCAAAAACCTATTCAGTTGGGCCCAATAAACAGAGCCCCAAGATGCGATATACAAGCTGACCACAGCATAAACCATCTGCGAGAGCCAAGAGCCTTGCACCAGAGAAGTATCACGATAGAAATCATCACTGGAGAGAAGCAATACTCCTTATGGGACCAACAGAAGAAAAGCATATTTTCCCACTCACACTACACTTGACAGAGTTGAAGTTTCTTGACTGCTGCTATGATCATGGGGGTCCAGGTGGGAGATATGTCCAGACTCGGTTATCTTTTAGATAAACAGATAATGTACCACTGTCACAAACTTTTAGATCTTATAAAAAAGGCAGATAGCCTGCTCCCTGGCCAAGGCTGCAACTAAGTCCTTCTAAATACTATTCTGGTAAGTTACAATGTAGTAACCTTTTTGAAATCTGAATTACAGAATGAGGAATAGTTTGGTCTACTTTAAGTTACAATTCAGGTATTTATGTTTATGGGGTGGGGTGGGGTGGGAAACACGCTCAAAGAAATATTCTGTTTGGGTGCCTTATGAAGAATTCAATCCAGGAACATTCCAAGTAGCAAGCAGAAGCTAAGAAGGTAATTTTCTTTGTTCACAAATACATGATGCTGGAATTTTATATACTGTACACAAGTTACTGAAAAATCCATTTGTAAAAGTTGCTTACACTGTGACAACTTCGCCCTTAAGGTAGCGGCCTGGAATCTCTAGCTGAATTTCCTTCTTGTTTCCCACTGCTTCAGCCATCAATGAGATCTTCTTATTTGGGTTTGCATCTTTGTCCCAGAACAACTCAAACTGTAGCCCATGCTTCTCATTATCACAGGTAATCTGTGAAAACAAGTAACTGCATTAATGTAAAAGTGTCTTCTTTTTGGACGGTCATACAGGGTTTATCTTAACTACATACATTAAATATAAGCATAGTGTTCTACACTTACAGGGAAGCAGAAATGGTCATATAAATATAGTGTCACAACCGTTTCATTAGTGAGATAGGCTATGGGAACAGGATGTACACGTACATTGAAAGAAAAGTAGACAAATAATGTTACTGTGGACATAGAGATTATTAGCTGTGAACAGAACGGTTCAGAAAAGATTTGGAAACAGTATACCATTACAGTCAATGCATAACTGAGCCCTGTTGTATCAACAATACCTGGTCTGCTGAAATATGTCAGGCATGTTGCATATTGTCCCAGCCATTTGAATAGCATTTCAAAACAATGCCTTTCAGATGACTGCCACAAGCAGAAGTCACCAGGATTGAGACTGGGTGATCAGAGAGGTCACATAACTGGTCCATTTCATCCTATTCATCGACCTTGGAAGGGGCTGTCTAAATACCATATAAGAATGGGCAAAGACTCCCATCAAGTAGATTGAATGACTGCTTTATCAATTCTCTTATACTGCCTTTCATTTGCTCTGTCTCATAATATTATATTTCAGCATCCTGTTGCATTAATATCTGCAGTATCTTGTTAACAAAGAGGCTGTAACCATATATTTTTATGACCATTTCTGCTTGCCTGTAAGTATAGAACATAATGCTAGTATTTATGATATGTAATTGAGATTCACTCTGTATAAGTGAAATTATTGTAACAATATATGATGACCAGTTCATACAAAATTTTTATTTTACCATGTGAGGTTCGGTTTTTAGAAATGTTTTCTGACTTGCATGTAAAGCAAATTATGGCAAGAAGTTGGGAGGCAGTAGTTTCAGCTTCATAGTGGGAGAGAAGGTGGGAGGGAGACTGCTGACACAGTGTAATTATGGCCCCTGACTTACATAGACTCAACAGATATTTATTGGAACACCCATGGTATAATTTGCATGAGTTCATCTCAGAAGGACAATTAAACGAATAAGATTCTCCTTGATAAATAGATTTAAGTGTAAATAAAATGACTAGTAATTAGGTGAAGTGTTTTAATATGATTTAGCCTATAAAGGGAATGGAAGTCTTAAAAGAGATTGCACTCCAAATTATTTAATCGTTATCTAAATTGAATTTTATCTTTTGTGGATTATTTTGATATAATAGGTTTCAAGTTTAAGAATATGACAGTGGTAATTAAGATATATATAGTAAGATGACCTTGTTTTTTAAAATGGAAGGTAGTCATAAATTTTATTGTACCTAATATATTTTAATTATACTGAGAGTGTGATTTTAATTGTAATTGAATGTTATGTTATGTGATAAATGATGATGTTCAGTCGATTTGGCAGGAGGCCAATTAGACTGGAAAAGTTGTATATGTATGTGACTTGTTCAAGAGTTACAATTTGTAACTGTGATGAATGTTAAATAACATTATTATTATTATTATTATTATTATTATTATTATTATTATCATCATCATCATCATCCATACAGACCCTATAATTCTTATCTAAATTAGTGGACTCAGCCAAATCCACTGAGCATTCTGTGAACAAACAGTAGCTAGTTACAGTTAATTTGTTATGAGAAGTCACTGGGTACTATCCTAAATGACAGAACCCATGATTTAGAACCCAATTTTTAATTAGAGTAGGTGTTCAATGTGTCTCGTAAATACAGATTAAAAATTCACTGTAATGAAAATTTTAACACATAGGCACTCTATTACATTCTGTACTTCAGTTAGATATACATTGCAAGATATGCGAAACATTACATCAAATATCCTCATGTATCATACATGCTATATTCAACAAAAACAATTTTTCAGTAAATAATGAAAAAAAAAATACTTGGCATCTTTCTATATCTGAGCTAACAAATAATATCCCAATAATATCCCAGTATCTCTCTTACACAAGGGAAACCGAAATATTTTAAGTTGTCCTGCAATTGTGTATTAATATAAAATGTAAAACTTAATTTAGTATCCCATAACATTCATTTGTGACAATCAGTTTCATCTAACACATCATTATAAAACTGCAACATTTATCATATTTGCTGGCAACACTGGATTCCAGATGAAGATCAGTCTCCTCATTACTGACAACTGGCATATGTTTATTACTTTAACTGCTATGAGTACATTGCATATTCCCTGAAATGTGTCACTGAAATTTAACTCTTTATGATTTATTCTTGTGATATGTTATGAAGGTTTCAACAGATGGAAGAACCTAACCCATTGAAGCTCAGCTATGAGTCAAGACCTCTGTGGCAAGTTAGTTGATACTGTTGAAACGCAATAGCACATTCACAGACCACATGATTTTCCTTTGGTGTAATTAAAGAAAATCATAACAAAATAATTCTAGAACAGCACAGTAATAAGCATCTCTGCATACAAGATCTTCATTAAATATTATTTTGGTAGTGAAATTAAGATGAACTGGATGAGTCACGTAACATTAACGGGAGAGATGAGATTTGTATATGAAATATCGGTCAGATGCCTTGAAAATTGGGAGGTATAGGTATAGGCATAGGCATAGATGTAAGGAAAACATTCAAATGGGTCTAAAAAGTAGGGGCTGAAACTTTATTCGTTTGGTTTAAGACATTGTCAAATGGCAGGTTACTATGAGCATGGTTATGAACCTTTGAAGTCCATATGAAAAGGTGAATTTCTTGACAAGCTGTGGAACTTATAGGTTCAACGACTGTGCTCCACTGAGCGAATTCTTTACATAAAGGAGGAAAGTGCTCAACATTGCAGATGTGTAGAGGGACCCAAAGGTGTATGGGCAGTTTTAAAAGTGACTGCATAAATAACAACATTCACAATCAATTTAATTAGAAAAATAAACAAGAATTACTGGGAAGAAACAATTGCCTGCTTTCCTCTGATACATCATGGGCCACACAGGAAAGGATGTGTCCAGCAATTCTTTTATTCTGATATATTGGGTTTTTGGACTTTATCCATCGTCCTGGTTTTTAACCTTTAAACGCCGGACTTCGGAAATGGTGGTAAGCTTGAGCTGGCCGGAGTTTATTTAAATGCCCGCTGCTGGTGCGCGTTTAAATGCCCGTTGCCACTCTGGGTTTAAATGTCCGTTCCTCTTCGGGCGCTTAATCAATTTTAAGCATTGTGTTTAAAAATGCTATATCTAACTCAATTTTTGTGATAAATGGATGGAATTAACTTTGTGTGTATCAGCAAAGAACACACTGTCGCGTATTACAACGGAAGATTTGAAAATTTTTATACAAAGTGTTATACCCTATTTTATTTTATTTTCTTTTAATTTTGATGCGTACTGCAAAAATGGTTTCCCAGTTCTTCACAGAGTTATTCTGCATTATAACTTAATTTCTGTTTGTAACACTTCAAAATTTTAGCAGTGTCCTGGTGTCATAAAACAGGTGGAAGCAATAAAGTCATTTGGTCTTTTGCTAGCACTGCTTACACTTTCCAGATTTTCGAATCTTTTACTAAAGGACAGAAGAATGAAAGAATGGCTATTCAAGAGAAAGCTAGAGGGGTCCCGTCCTCAGTGCTAAAACCTTCCGTTATAGCTGCAAGATATTACTGCCCTTTCTAGGGTCGTGAACAAACAGTTACTTCGTGGCTGAGATACAAAGTGCCGTCTCTTTCCTGTGTAGTGATAGTGAAATCGAATACTGTAGTTACATTTCATCTTACCATGGCAATGAAACGTCGTTTGGAAAATTATGAAATTGAAAGGCAACTGCTATTCGATTCTGATTCGGACTGCTGCACAGAAGATGAAGATAATAATTGGGGCTACGAAGATGAGGATGATGAAGAACTCGTGCAGCCACCGCCATCATCACTATCATCATTGTCGTCATCACCATCGTCATGGGGACCACCACAACAGCATGGCAGAAGGGGTGCGAATAATTTTTCTGGTGGAGCAGTGGGGATAAATCTAAACGAAGCTCCACATGTGAATAAGGATTCCACTCCACTCTGCGTGTTCCTGTTATTCTTCAGAGAAATTATCCATCTGCTGGTGGAAGAGACTAACAGATATTATCACCAATATCTCGACAGTCTTGAAGACGGACCTTCTCCACTCCCTGACATTACTGATTCCGAAATGTTTCTTTTTTTAGGGATCATTATTCAAATGGGCCATGACATTAGAGACCGAATAAGAGACTACTGGGCGACTGCTGAGCAATTTCTCACGTCTTTCTACGGTAAGACATTGAAACGCGACCGATTTCTTCATATTCTTCGCTTCCTTCACTTTACAGACAACAATGCAGGAATTGACAGACAAGCCGACAATTATGACCGACTATGGAAAATTCGGACTATTTTTGACACTCTAAATGACGGATATGAAAAATATTATAATCCTTCGGAGCATCTGGCTGTTGACGAAATAATTGTAAAATTCAAAGGGAGGGTTATTTTCAGACAATACATTCCTAAGAAACACAAACGTTTCGGAATCAAAATCTTCAAGCTCTGTGATTCAGCAGGCTATACATACGACATGAAGGTTTACTTAGGTAAAGACAGAACACGCGCTGACCAAGAAGTGACTGCGACGCATGCAACTGTCAGGGACCTCTGCAAAAGAGTAGAGGGGGTTGGGCACAAACTGTACATGGACAATTTCTTTTCGTCGCCAGACTTGTTCGACGAACTAATGACGAAAAAAATAAGCTGTTGCGGAACAGTCAGACCAAATCGGAAGGGCCTACCACAAGACATACGCAACAGACAACTTCGATTGAAGAAAGGAGACATACGGGTTAGGGTGAGGGGTGACATGACAGTATTAGTTTGGAAAGACAAACGAGATGTATATATGTTGACTAATATGCACGCTCCTCCAGCAGAAGGCAATTTCTGTGATGAACACAGAAATGCGATAAAGCCTGCAATTGTTGCGGATTACAACATGCACATGGGATATGTTGACAAAGCGGACAGGATGACAAACAGTTATTCCATCAGCCGTCGGACTTGGAAATGGACGAAGAAACTATTCTTCCATTTACTAGATCTGACGATTCTGAACAGTTTCATTGTGCTGTCATCCTGTGGTGCGAAAATATCACATAGAGACTTTCGTCTAACCCTTGTGCGCAACATGCTGGAGCATGCCGCAACGTGTCGCCCTCGCCCCCAGGGGCCCTTAGGTCGACCTCCTGCTCTTTCATCTACAATATATCGCCTAGAGGAGGCCAGTCGACAACACTGGCCAAACCATTCAGACAAGAGACTGAACTGCCGCGTCTGTTCTGCACGTGGGAAAAGGAGAAGAATACAGACAAAGTGCGAGAAATGTGACGTGGGCCTGTGCATTCTCGGGTGCTTCAAAGAATATCATACAAAGCCGAGATTTAGTTAGATGATGCAGGGGGTGGAGCCTATATATACATCAAGCAGATAACAACAAAAAGGTATGTACATCGAATTTTACTATATATTTTTACATATTTATCTGCAGAATCTGCAATAAAATTACTGGCTCGTGGATGAGAATCGGCGTAACTCATACGTATACTCTTTTTGTTGTTGTTCATTTAGGTATCATTTTAATTACTCTATTAGGATTTTACTCAAGTCGGTCTGGTAATTACTACATTTAAAAATAAATATTTAGGACTGTGCATGCGCTTCTACTAGCGGCGTGTGCGCACGCTTCCCCTAGCGGAGTTTAAATGCCCGAGTGGCCAAAACTGGGTACTTTGGCCATGACGACCTTACTCACCACTGGCACAAACGGAGCACTTCGGCACTTAAAGGTTAAGATAACAAAAACACGACGTTTATCTTAAAAACCAGGACGATGGATAAAGTCCAAAAACCCAATATATCAGTGTGTTATACACCATCGTCAGAATCCTATAGTAACTACTTAATTCTTTTATTGTTATGTGTATATTTGTTGCTGTGGTAATGTTTTTACTAAGTTGGTAGGAGGATGAACTGACACAGACATCATGGAGATCTCATATGCCGACTTTTAATTTTCTTTCAAAAGAGGAATATAGGCTAAAAATATCATGTTCAATTAACTGTAAATATTAGAAGCATCATATTCATTCTTATAATTTCACAGAAATCTGAGTGATAAATAATAATTCTGCAGGTATATAAATATGTCATGAATCCATAAGCAACCACCAGTGATAATTTTACCTTTGTTGCCAGGCTGAGCCGTTTTCGTAGCTTTAGGTCAACAGCAAACCCTTTCTCAACTGAAGTGTTCAGAAGAACCAGGCTGCCACCATATACTGAATCAGCAAGTTGCACTGTACCTTCCATGAAATGAAAGCTGGAAACATATACTACTGTATAACTGCTTGGTTAGTCATGATAACATTGATATAAGAGGTCTTTGAGAAACAGGCATGATGTTAAAAATGCAAAGGACTATAAACCTGTAAAATTATGAATATAGCAACTTTTTTTGATGAAAGTAACACTATCTGTTAAATTAACTTTCCATGTGCATCTCCTGAAGTGATTACTATTTTAGTGCCAGAATAAACTTAACAATAACGACAATTTTAAATCACAGGGGTTATATAATGAAGAGATGAGAGGTACATGGTTCATCTTGAGAAGACATATTACATGAAGACATACTTTTCAAACTGCTCCCCTGAAAGAATAGCTGATTTACAGGACACCTTGAAAAACTACTCAGGCTCTGTCATGTTCCTTTTTAGTTTTCCATTGCTACATAGAGTGAAGACATTATTAGTACTTTTGTATATGGATACAGTTTACTCATATTAAAATTAGCAATAAATTGAAAATATTAACAGAGGAATCCTTTACTTCTAGCTATCTGCTTCAATAGAAAGCCATTCCTTATTAGATACAAAGATTGCTCACTCATTAGTGACCTATTACATAAATTACTGTATATTCATGCAACACTAAAAAAATTCATCACTTTGGTAGCCCAAAATTACATCATTTCAGAGTTCTCACTGTCAAAACTTTCTTATATAGAGAGAGGGATATAAATATTCATACCTGTATAAGTGCAGACTGCCATCATATTTAGGTCAGAGCACAGGACATGAAACACATTTTCTGTTTAATTTCAGTCAACTTACAAATCATTCTTCTGACTAAAATCATGCCTTTTTTAATAGGCACAGTTCATAATTCAAACATCTGTAATTCAATTTATTAGAGATCACCTTTTTTGCCTTTCATGTCAGTCACTGTTGCAGCAGCATGTTATCACTTGCAGAGTAGGAGATGTATGTTTGGTCAATGTGGAATTTTTCTCCTTGTTTTTACATTAAAAGAAGTTGAGTATACTCAAGAAAACTATAATACAGCAACACGGAAGAAAATTCAGCACCAGTGAAACTTTATGTGAGGTGGAAATATCTGAGAATTCTTTCATGAAAACAATCATGTTCAGGTAATCATTCCTAGGTCCAAAAGTGGAAAATATCCAGAGGCTGAAAAGGCTTAACTAGCTATGAATATGCATATAAAGCACAAAGGAACGACTACATTACATGGGATATATCAGCTTGAAACTCATGAAATCGTCCACTATGATAAAATACCAGGAATTAAATTTTGAAAACACTGGAAAGATGAAAGGGGTATGCGGTAGCATAGTTGGTTGAGCGGCTATGCTACAAGCTGGAAGGTCGCGGGTTCAAGTCCCGATGAGGTCACTGGATTTTTTTCAATTGACCTAATCCTTCCAGCCACGCTATGGCCCTGGGGTTCACTCAGCCTCTAACAGAAATGAGTACCAGGAATTAATTAAATAATTTTCCTGGGGAGTAAAGCGCGGCCGGCGCGTAAAGCTGACGACCTTACCGCCATCTTTGAGCCAATTGTCTAGATAATGTGGGACGCTCAACATCTCACAACCCTATGTGTCTTCACGGCCTAGTACAGGGATAGCTTTAATTTTTACTGGGAAGATGAAAGTCAGGCCCATGTCTGTGTCAAATCAACATGAATTTTGTCACCAAAATTTTTCATACAGCATTTTTTGTGGAGTTAATATGACATTCCATTATACTTTTGTTAAAGCTACATGTAAAGAAGACACAACACAGATATTCCCTATTTTAACTATACATGTCATAACTTCCAAACCTATGGAATACAAAACCAGATATGAAATATCATTCATTGTCATTACTGCCATAATTATTCATTTTATTCATCCTGTAAGTGCCTCTCCCATGTGCCTCATCTATACCTATTCCCATGTGTACATTGACCCTCACATGTTCTCCCTACCTCTTCAATTACCTCCTTAATACGTTAACTTTTATGTTTGCAAGTGCAACATATGTCTGTACCACTGCATTTGCAATTTCATTAACTTTTCTTGTGATGTTTCGGCCTTCAGACTTTGTCTAATGTCCTCCTTTGGATTTTACTGCATCCCATTTGTTTCTTGTACGAACTGAGTTCCTTTAGCCATGTTCAGGTTTCTACTGTATACATGTCAAATTGTGCAAGTAAAATGGTGTACATAAAAACTTTCTCTGATATTTCCCAAATTGTATTTCTCTTAGTCCAATAACATTTCCTGGCTCTACAGATACTTCCTGTAATATACTAACAATATTAGGGAAACAACTCCAGCATAATAAATTTTGCTGGTTATACTTACAGGTCCTTTACATATGTCACATTTGCCAAGTATGTTTTATTATATGCATCCAGCTGTATCCAGTGTTTTTTCACATTATTGGATGATGTAAGGCTAGCAACAAGCTTTCCATTCAGTCCTCCAGTCAGTGATATGTCTAGCTGATGATCCATCTTCACCTTATTGCTGCCATCCAAATAGAAACCACTGATATTCACTCCATGGACATCAGTTTGTGTCACCCACCAACCTGACACCTGAATCTCATATCGGCTAGGTGTTGATTCAGTCACTGTGCCATGCATTCCAGTTTTGTACCATGGGCTATTCAGTTCAATATCCAGTTCATGTTGATGCTTCTCACCCTCCAATTTCCGCAAATAATTCAAGAGAGCCAACAGTTTATATTGAGGAGTAATTGTTGTCTTGAAATGGCTTGAAATAGTTGCATTAGTTACCTGAAATATTTATAGCACACCCTAAAAGTGCACATACTTTTCTGTATGTATAGCATATTTCGTAGTCTTTCTTTATATTGAAAAACAAATAGAATTAGTCTGTTCTCCTTATTCTAAGATGAGAAGTGCTAATGAGATGTGGGCATGTCTTTCCCCCTAAAAATAGAATTAGCCTGTTTTTCCTTCTGAGATAAGTTGTACTAACGAGATCTTTGGATATCTTTCCTGCTAATAACTTCTGATAATCAGAATCATGAAACTTAATGTAGTATAAATTTAGACAATTGACAAATGCCACTTATTAAACATCTTTTTAATCTTCTGCAAATTCCACTGAACTTCAACCATAAAAATTTGTATGCATACTTTTTGTGAGATCATTTTAGTCTATGGAAAACTAAAAAAGTATTTAGGTTTATGGAAAGCGATACAGTGAGATATTATTAAAAGATTGTAAATTTATAAATTGTATGATTTGAAAATTATTCATATGATGTGAGGTTATGTATAATATACTTTAGAGAGTTGAGATTTTTATAACACCCAACATTTTTCTGATGGTAAACAGAGCAATGCCTCTCGAATGCTATATCTAATGGGACAAATCTTTGAAACTTAACTCTTCATGCTCTGATATGAAACAGATAACAAGTTTCACTGTCTCATAGTTCTCTTTCTGGCCAGGCCTGTCACTGGAATGGAAATATTTAATCGTGTACTCATGCATTTAATAACACAATTTCTCTTTGGAAGTGATTATATGTTACTTCTTGCTTCTTGGTTTATTTAATAACAATGGCAAGTACACAGGTCAATGAAGCCAAAGGAAAGGTTGACCGTGAATGATGAAATGGGACATATATGAAAAATAGTGGTCATTGCCATTTTCCAGGTACTATCTTAGCATTTGTTTCGAGGGACTGAGGAAAACCACGTAAAAATTGTTTAGGGTAGCCAGTTTCTAGGCTGAGATCTGAATCTGAAGTATCCTCAGGATTACGGGGTCTTTGGACTTGTCCTCCATTTTGATTCTAAAAAACAAAAGAATACAAGGTTTTGGACACTATAACCGTTTCCATCCTCAGGTGGGGGGTGGGAGACACCTACTTTGTTGAGGCTGTTAGAAAGAGCTCAACTCAATTACTGAACTTTGCGTTTTTTAGAATACCAGATGACAGACAAAGTACAAAAACCCACTAATGCTACCTGAAGCATCCTGAATACAAATCATTAATGTTAACTGTAAAAAATAATGATCAAATTTAATATGAAACATTATGCCAGTATGGTGGTAAACTCAAAAAGAGTTAATGGACTACTCACCTAGAAGAACAAGATTCATTGGACTCTGTTTAAGATATTATGAAATATTTTTTCCTCAGAAAATTACCCTTTGGGGGATGGAGAATATAACCTTAGTTTCTTCTGTATAAGCTTCCACCCTGAGTGTTACATTTAACTTTCCCTTAAGTTCCATGTAAGTTCATCCTTGTATAAAAACTAGTATTAATATTCAATTAATTTTCCATTTAACTTTCCTAAACTCAGCATTTTCATATACCTGGTATTGGACATCCACTCCATAGTCAACACCCAATCTGGGGCATGTCAATGTGCACAGTAGAGCCAAATCAAAATTGTCTTCAGTTGAATGGTAGCGGTAAAGCTGCTGAGTCTGCCATACAGTATTCCCAAGAGCCACTTTGCAAGTGCTTTCAAAGTAATGGTTACTGCGTTGCATTTCCCAAAATGCGTCAACATCATAGTGTGGGAACTGCGACATCTATACACGAAATTCACAGAATGCACAAACATATTGGGCATAAGCTTATGATGTACTTCAATGTGACTACAACTTTTGGGATGTGACTAATTAAGCTACTCTTTCTGAATCCATCTAGAATTAACAGAACCAATGAAACTGTGGACGTTAACCTCCATAATTTAAACATAACATTTTTAATGTTTATTCTGCAAATAATAAAAGCTGATAATTCAGTGTAATAAAATCTAGGTAAAGAAATTTGCTATCATTGAAAAATGCATAGCCATAAAATGGTCCATTTTTAGTTTAAAGTGAAATTTTAATAAAGAAATTCCTTAAATTAACCAACTCACTAATGAATTTTGTAATTGCATTTTTGGACTTACCTCCACCAAATATCTGTAAACAGATGTTAAATAATATATAGGCCTAGAGATTAGGTGTCCTATCTTTTAAAAGATAAATTTCATCGCTACATACTACAAAACTCTTTCTTCTGAGAACATTCTAAAATTCTAAAAACATGAACTAGAAGGCTGCAAAGCATTGAAATCATAGCAGATATTCTATTCTTTCTGTTTCTCTTATTAATACCAGTTCCAGCTGTGCAATATCTGTGTTCATATTCCTACAAGCTTATTTTATTTATTGGCTATTTCCAAGCAATTTTATATGTTATCTTGTTACCGTGTTTCTCTTTGGGATATTTTTCACTCTCAGGACCAAGATGTTAAGGCTACAGCATTTAAAGCCATAAAATGCAGTAAGCTTTCTTAACTATTACCGACATCAATTTTTATTTGGTTATATCAAAAGGTTGTTGCTCTTAAGGGTGTTTTCATTTATGTCATTACTTTCAAACCCTAGTCTCAATTTATGCTTCAATTATAATTTCCACAGTGGGGATGGAGCAGTCGGTATAGTGACTGGCTATGGGCTGGACGACTGAGGGGTTGGAGTTCAAGTCCCAGTAGGGCCAAGAATTTTCTCTTCTTCATATCATCCAGACCATCTATGGAGTTCATCCGGCTTTCTATCCCACGGGTAGCAGAGCATTTTCCCCGAGGGTAAAGTGGCCAGGGCATTAAGCTGACCTCTCACCTCCAACTAGTTTCAAGGTCAAGAAAACGGATCTATACATCCACTCTCCAAAACCTCTTCACAGCATAGTGCTTAATTAGTTAAGTACAGGGACAACTTTACCTTTTATCACAGTAAAACTCTGATTCAGTAATTTACGTTCTTATCAGCATTTCCTAGTTAAACCAATTATATTATGTATTATATGAGTTTTAGTCCCATCTATACAACAGATATTGAACAATCTGATACATGCACTAGATAAGGTTTATGTTGTCATGTTCCATTTCTTATGCTGGAATATGGTATTTTTGCTCTATATACCTGTAACGTGATGTAAACACCCTCTCTGAGTAGTTTTCCTTTGGAGTTATCCTGAAACTTAGCAGAAAAGGCCAACTTATGTGGTTGGGTTTCTCCAGTCTTATACTGTACAGTTGCTTTAGTACTCAGATAATTCTTGGTAAAGTGCAAACTTCCATGGAAGGTACTGGTCAAGGCCTTTGACATTATGTTACCCATCAGGTTATATTTGTCCTCATTCATGTTAATATTACCTGTGGATTCATAAAATTTAAACACAGATATAATTAGTATTTCCAAAATTCACTGTCCTTAAAAACACTGAGGAGTAATTCTACCTTGAGCTTTGAATGGAATGTGTTAACTGTATGTAAAGCTTATGTATTATCAAGACTGACAATTTTCTTATTCTACCTAATTTGTGTTTCAACTCTTAAAGAAATCTTAAAATAATTTCGAATTTTAAATTTACAATAGTAAAACTGAACAATGTTATGTTACCTGAAACTGTAATTGGTTCCTTTGACAGACCCTTTATTGCAAGATCAGCATTGTACTTGAAACCTTCAACATAGTTCACTTTTCCAGTGATATCTGCTATCAGTCGATTCCTAAATGACAACTCAAAGAAGGGTTCATAACGACCAATATGTCCAGTTCTAATCCTTTTATAACCTACTCTTGTCATAACCAGTTCTTGATTATTAAGTGTTATAGTTGCATCTAATGAGTTTATGGCATCAGAGTTCTCCACTTTTCCGCTTGCAGTGACCTTAATGAAGGGTGTCACAATGCTTGCTTTAGCAGCAGAATTTGTCCTGTCTAACACATACTGAGCACTCAGCTTACGATCAACTTTAGAACCGGGAGTGTCAAAATTGAAGATCACAGAGGTCTCACTCTTGCTTGCTTGACGTTTAAAGATCAGTTCATATGCATTAAAAGTATCAGTCTTAGTAATATCTAAGTGGAATCTGAAAGGCCCGGTGAGAGGAAAGTACGGTGCTGAGGGGTGAAGAGAAGAGTTGATGTAAGTCAATTCCATGCATGGCTTCATTCCAATCAGGGAACTCATAAAATCTGTAGAGCATAATGTATAATTTTCCATATTGTCTTCAATGCCTTTGCTTTCAACCATCTTGTCATGATGCAGCACAAATAGCTGTGATGCAACATTCAGTAACTCAGTTTTATTATGAGGAACATTTAGTTGCAAGTCCACCAAATCTCCACCTTGAATTTTTACCTTCCCAGACATGTACATATTTGTGTGCAATGTGCTGACAAGTCTGATACCAGCTTTAGTTATAGTTGCATCCACAGCCATGGTTCCTGCGAATTCAACGGCAGCACTAGGCATCACACTACCTTCTATGTCCACTGAATTGAGTGAGAACATGTCCTTTATATTTGCATGACCATTTAGCTTGAAGCCCACAGTAGCACTACCATTAAGAGCCAAGTTCAAGGGGAAACCAATGCAGGTAGGGATCATATATGACCCATCAATCAGTACTAAAGACTTGGTGAAATCAACATCTCTTTCCTGCATAATTTTCTTAACAAGATCAAAGGAAGTTGCACCACTTATTCCATCTATCAACTCCTTCAGTCCATGCAGCTGTGTATAGTGCAGCTCATTCCCAAACACACGTGTGTACACAGATGCCGAGGGCTCTTTTGCCAACTTTCCCTTCCTATTGAATTGGTCAGCTATCTGACTGATTCTATTTTCTACATTATCTAATTCATGTTTATCTTTGAGATTTTTCAGCATCTTGTTCATAGCATTATCTGGCAAGTAACCTGCTGGTCCAAACAAATTTTCCACAATATTTTCGAAACCTTCTGCACGTGCTCCAAGTTCCAAAATGTTAACAGATTCCCCAAACAAGTCCAGCGTGAGATTTAAAGTTGCAGAACGGGGAAGATAGGACTGTGGGGTGAAGACAACGTTACTCTCGGCAGCAGCACCTGCATTCAAGGACTCAGAGAAGAAAGAGCCCTCATAGTTTCGTGAGAACTTCCTGGCATCAGTACTGAATTTGTTCTGTAGAAAGTCACTTGATACCAGTGCCCTAATATGCTGTTTCCAGTGGCTCGATGTTTCCTGCAGGTTGGTGAGATGAGTCCATACAAATGAAGCCACTAAAACATAATAAATCTTAATTACCCAAATTTGCAGAAATTTAGACTTATCAGTATGCTGAATATTTGAAGAACCAAGTAAAAATATCATACTGTAGCATTACATTGTGTGTGAATAATTAATTCTTCTCTTCAGTCCCCAACTTATATGTATAATTACACTATGTTTTGACATTTTTGGCCATTATCAGGTAATACGTGTCTCTACATTCACTTTTGTTTTTCTGCTATTTTATCCCTATATCTGGGAGTAATCATATGATGTTACTCATATGTGCCAATTTTGCTAAAATTATTAAAATGTTTTATTATAATTCGTGTTTATTTGGTTCATGTTGCAGTGGTGTTGCAAATAATGTTTTCTCTTGTTTTCCTGTTTGTAGTAAGGTTGATATTCGTGTGTGTAGATCATCATCATCATCATCATCTCTATGTTGAAGGTGGAAATGAGAGGGATCTGCCTTCTTAGCCAACAAAATGTGACCTAATAGATAGCTGGGAAAATATGTGAAACTAGTAAGAACTAATCTTACTTACTCTCTTCAATGACTCTCTAACATCAGAAATTATCAGAAATAAAGACAGAGCTGCTGTTTTCTGCCTAAGAATTTAAAGGCAAAGAAAGTGATGTGACGCTAATTGTAGTTCTTCAACTACATTACTTTCACGTTTACATTTTTTTCCAAATTGAATTCATGATTTCTGTTCATTTAAAAACATATTTTTAAAAAGTTATTAATATTATTAAGCTAACAAATAATTTAGGCCTTAAAATTATAATATTTACGATTCTGACAAGAACAAATTTTCACTGTATGTTGTTTACCTTGGTTGACTTCTTCGCTGTACAGAGTATCTTTGATACTCTGTATTGTATGAGAGGATGGGCACTGCATGATTGCCAGATATGCTGCAATTCTCAACTCTGTGTCCTCATGTTTGTTGGTGTACAAGTCCAGAAAATGTAAACGAGTGTTCTCAGTGCACGGCAATCGACGATATGCAGAAATGGCAGCCAGGCGTACTTCAATAGGATTCACTGCCTGGCAACATAATAGCTATGTCACTATGTGCTCTGGCACAATGATGCTTTTCATAAATATGTCTCATCATCATCAGCAGCAGCAGCAACAGCAGCAACAGCAGCAACAACAACAACAACAACAACAACAACAACAACAATTACAATAACATAATATTGAACTATTTCTGCCTAACTGAGCAGCAACACATTTCTAAAGTGGGGTTTTCTGGTTCTACTATTTTTGTGCATGTCACATGTGGTTGAATGTCCACATTTTAGTGACCACTTTTAAATAAACTGCTAGAACCTTACACTTTATCCTGTTTTTTTAGACATTTATAACATTGAAATATTTATATGCAATATTAACAATAAATTATAACAATATACAATACACAAATTAGTGCACTTTCACACAACTTCATGAGATGAAACTCACATACTCGGTGTATATAACATGTAAACATAATACAATCACCAGCTTCTACCACATGGAAGACAGAGAAGTAGAGGGCTTTTTGACAAAAATTCACTGCTAGTTTCACTTACAGAGCACCTGCAGAACGTCAATTTACGTTAACATCTGCTTTGCTTCTTGCTAGTTCTGTATACAACATGACCCAACAAAACTTCTTAATAGGCAAAATATTTGATACATGCCTTTAAATTTCCTTTCTTAGACACAAAGTTCAATGGATTCTATTTATAATATGTCAACTAATTAAAACATAATATCACTGGAAGAAATTTAAATTCACACATAATAAATATATTAAAATTTTTGTATTCAGTATTTTATCCTGTTACACATCATAATAAACTAAATGATATTAATCCTAAAATATAACTACTACTCTGAATTACCTGACTACATTTTCTGATGGTGTCACTTGAGTCAATAAATACACCTGCATTACCAATGGCCTTCAAGGCAAGTATAATTAGCTGCTGTTTAACATGATCAGTAGACTGGCAATCAGATCCCAGAAGACCCTCAAATTTCCTCATGATCTCTTTTACTTCATCCATCTCTATACAGTTCTCATTTTGCTGACAGTAGTTGTGGACTAGTGCAGAGATGCCCAACAGAGCATTAGCACTTGGACTTCCATCCAACAAAGGCTGAAATCATATAAGCAATGCTGAATAATGATGGACAGTGTACAGTTAGTTGTGTTCATTTTATCATGAGCCCCAGCTATAGAGTAAACTTGACATTCATTCAGTATGACACAAATCAAAACAGAGCACACTAAAGTTTTCAGTTACTTTGAATATACAAAGTTAAAGACAAAAATATGCTTCATGGATCACTGCATTTGGTAAACTCTTTCATTCTGGTTATTCATGATTTTCAAGAAAACAAAAAATCAATAAAAAATTCAATATAATTTGCACTTTCTTTGGTGGGGCACATGGTACCGTAGTTGGTTGAGGCATTATGCTAAAAGTCGGAAGGTCATGGGTTTGAGTCCTGAATAGATGGATTTTTTTCAATTTACCTAATCCTTCCAGCCGCACTATGGCCCTGGAGTTGATTCAGCCTCTAACAGAAATGAGTACCAGGAATCCTCTTTGGGGGTAAAGGGCAGCTGGCGCGTAAGGCTAACAACCTCACGCCATCCGAATATCTAGAGAAAATGTGGGAGGTCAGTGACTCAAAACTCTATGGGCCTTCATGGCCTGTTACAGGTACAACTTCATCTTCTTTTTTTTACCTTGTCTGGTAGTGAAAGGTACTTCACACTATGCCCCATAACTCGAGTCATCTTGAGTCATGCACCAGGCATTTCCATACACCCAAGTAAATGGTTGTACCACCATGATTCAGTTATCAGAGTCTCATTTGTGACATTAAAATAAGTAAAACAAGTAAAGGTGAAGATGGCATTAAGACAAGAGAGGTTTAATATTGTGTATTCTGTACCAGCCCTTTTTTTTTCTGTGACGCTACAGCCCCAATTTGGGCCTAGGCCTACCTCCATGAAACTCTCCGTTTCACTTCGGTTTACTAGATCTTACACATTCGGTAGGACTCCTTGAGCGAGTGATCAGCTCGTCACAAGGCCTCTACCTGTAGACAAACACAGAAAAACGCACACAAACATCCATGCCCTGAGTGGGATTCGAACCCACGATCCTGGCTTCCGAGCGAGTGAAGACAGTGCATGCCTTAGACCGCTCGGCTACCGTGACCAGCGTACCATCCCTTACAACCCCTGTAAAAGTATGATAGTAAAACATCATCCATACCAAAACTGATGACATCATATCAAGTGTGGGCTTCCTTTGGAATGCAATCGAAGTGAGCCAAGAATCTATCTGAGCAACAGTTATTTCACCAGACTTGAAAAGCTGAATCATCATTTCAACTCCATCAGCTGTTCTAATGAGTGGCATTGCATCCAGAAGGAACTTCCTATGACAAAATAACTTTAAATATAAACGACTCATGTATATTATTTCAGCACTGCAAATACTGCCATTATCACAATGTTTTATAATCACAATATTAACTTATCACCTATTCTGTCATGGTTATCTATAATTCTTTAATTAGCAATTATTTTCTTCTGTTGACTAATCTGTCTCATGTTCCCTAAATTCATCTTGAAAATGTAAGTTTAGCGTTATATATTATAAATATTTGTTAGTATTGGGGTTTTCAGTTTCCATTTTCATGTATTATAATTTTAAAATTCAAGTCTTACACAAGAAACTATATTCATTGCTTTTATATATGATGAGAAAAACATCCCAAGGTTAATTGAGATATACTTTGCATTACCATACAGATTTCAAGTTCTCTGAAATCCATAGTGTCAGTTCTAATAGAAAGTAAAATAAAATTTTTATATCCATTTTAAACTGAGAATCTTGCAAGCCATATTTTGTAACTCAATAATTTTAATTTGAAACACATTTTCCTGTTAAGTAACGGGCATCAACTGGTAAGTTAATCGAACTTTAGTGGTGAATGTATTTAACTGGTTAAAAATATTAAACATTAAATTTTGGGGTACCTACTATTTTACACTGAACTACAAGAGACATATATTAATTTCATCAAGCAGTTATTATTAAACACAGTTTATATTTTATCATTCGTCATTATACTCAATACCTAAATAAGATTCACTGTCTAGAGAAGGAATCATCATGCCAACAAACAAAGCATTTTAGATTAATTTCAATATGAAGCGAAGAGCTCTGCCTTCTTACCTCATTTGTTCATCAGTGGCATGGCTGAACACCTTTTCGAGTTCAGTGTAGTTCATAGATGTGAGAGCTACTACTAAACGTGAGAACATAGAGGGAACATCACTCTCAACTCCAAGATGAGTTTTCCTAACTAGCTCCTTGAGTAGTTCTATCACGGTATATTCTTGATCCGTAATATAATTTGTTGTATCTGCATGTTCATACAATAACGTAGTACGTCGTTTGGATGCTGTACCTGCCATCAAAAATATTGGCACTTTTAAATTTAAGTAGAAATATGCATACACTCATATAAGCACATACACATCCAGATGTACAAACACACAAACCCAAAACACATACACAATAATCCTTGATTTAGGAAATTAATTTTGGAGATTTTGTATTATGGAGCATTATAAAAGTCAAAATCATGCAGCCAACAATGTGCATTGCATAATACATTTCATTTCAAAATTATGATAAAAGTTATACCCCACTTGATTAATAAGTGTCACAGGATTTGGGGAATAAAAATGCCACCCCTAGGAATATTTTATGTTGCTTGTCCAGTGCCTCCAAGAATAGTGTGTGCTTTCATGATCTCTGTCTACATAGGAAAAAGCACAGAATCCATTTCTAAGGTGGGGGACTGTCAGTAGATTTTGTCATCCTCAAAGACAGGATAATCATGGGAGCGATGAGCAGTAGAGAAACTATAACTTAATGTCACCTCTGAACCACAGGAGGAGGGAGGTCTAATATTCCTCACATTCCTCGAGTTTCGTCTATAATACAAGTGATGATTCAAATCTGCAAGCAGATCTGACCAAGGATCAGATTCATAATCCTTTGAATAAGAGTACAGAGCTTTCCTCTATACTTATAAATGTAAAATAAATATATCATTGGTTATGTCCTTCTTTTCATGGTGTAATATTACCATATTAATATTGCTAGAGTAAAGTAGTGCTGGTAAACTCCTTTAATGTGTAGCTGTTATGTTTTACCTAATCACATCTCACTCCTACAATATAAGATACACAAACTTGGATTCATTATACAGGCAGAAGCACAGACTGCCCTCCCCCCCCCAAAAAAAAAGAAACAAAAAAAGGAGAAACAGTTGCCAAAATTTTGAGCATCACTGGTGATATAACATACAGATCCAATTATTTCCCATTTCCAAAGTCACATTCACAACTTCAATTTAGAGGAAAATGTGGAGGACATGTCACTATAGCATTACGAATAAAACAAGAAAATGCAATAAATTTTTAAGAAAAACTTTCCTGATGCTTTATTTCAGAACTGATGTGAGCACCTTACCAACTCTTTGTGGTATCTCTCCATTGTGTGAAGTCTTGTAATTCAAAATCTGATTCACCATAGTGACTGCACCACCATCATGCTTAGAAAATGGACGAAAGGTATGAATCTCATTATTAGCTGCTTTCTGAAGTATACCATCTCCAATAACTTGACTCCCTCGCTGTTGACTCCTTCAAGTTAATAAAGAAAATGTATTTCACCCTACTGAACGGAATCCAGAATGTAAAAGTCTTCCATTCTCATATACATTTACATCTTTATACCTTTCACTTCACTGTCCAGTTCTCAGTCATGTATTACCAATATATTGTGACATGACTGACTAGTTTAACAAAGTACATCATTTGTTCCTGGTATCTCATACAATAAACTCACGCCTATGTCATCAAACAAGTGACCCATTGCTAGGCAAGGCAGTGTTTTTTTAATGTGGTCCAACCTAAGGCTATACATCAGCTGGTTAGATGTCAGTCATGCCTCTGAAATTGTGAGCCATTACAGTTAGTTGACAGTCAGTGACAGCGAGTGATAGTCAGTAGTAGACAGCTGGAGAAATGGGTCAGTAGTGAGACAGTCGCCAGCCAGAGGGGACTTGAACGTGGAAGAAGGGGAATACCCAATGCTGAGAGTTGTTACCAGGCAACAGCTGGTAAAGGCATAGCAAGTAGAGAAAACTTAGCGCATTCTGTAGTGAAAAGTAGAATTCATGAATTACTGACAGTGTTGTACTTTTTTATTATATTTTATTGCTGGTGGGGTGGGACTAAGCCCCTTGTACTGCGGCCACTTCTGGCCTATTGTACCAGCCCCAGATGACAGGTGAGGGTGATGTGGAGCAATTGGTGGAATGAAGATTGGCAGGGGAACTGAAGTACTCGGAGAAAACCTGCCCCAGCGCCACTTCGTCCAGCACAAATACCACTTGACCAGACACAGGATCGAACCCAGGCCGCTGCGGTGGGATGCCAGCGACTAACCGCTTGAGCTATGGCATGGCCTAGCATTGTAATTACTTGTAGTTACGAGTTATGGGAGTTCAATAAATCCAACTACCAATCCAAACCCCGTGTCTAGACACTAACACGTGACAATATGTGTTTCCATTAAGGGAAGAAAATATACTGAAAGAGGGTGGTGAGAGCATTTGAAACCAGGATGTAGGAAATAACAAGAAAGTTGAGAGAACTGCATAATGAGAAGCTTCACAATTCATATTTTTTCTCAAAAACAGATCAAAGTAGGCCAGCTCAGTAACGTCATTTCATTGAAAAAAACACACCTTGATTGACGGGCTGTACTATGGCTGTGGCATTGCAAAGCAGACATTATATATAGTGACGAGATACATCCCATTTCCCTTCCACTTATGGCCAATGTTCAGCCACTGGAAACTGTTCTATCTGTTGCATCCACTTTCCATGTTTCCGCTATCACCATTTGACCTTTGTTCCTTTTCCCTCTCCAAACAATGCACTGGTTATTTCAGACAAGACAGGATGAAAGCCTAATGTGCACCTGTCTGTATTTAAAGCAACGTGGAATGACACAGAACACAAGAAAATATCATGTACAGACAAAGAGAAACAAGAAGTTCTGAGAAGAATTAATCGTCTGCTTTCCTTTAACTGTGATTTGAATATCTGATATGATGAATAGAAAGAAATTTTAGTACATATGTGTAATGAAGTCAATAAAACAATACAATTTGGGAGACTGCAGTGCTTGTAGTACTGATGGGAGTCATTTATGAAGTACACCATTTAGCTGGATTATTACAGTCGGTCGATTAAAATGCTGTTCAGCCTTCACCAGCACAGTCATTCCTGGCTCCAGTCTCCAAAAGATTCATGACCAAGATTTTTGTTCTGTCTTAGATATGTACATGTTTAGAAACGGGGCATCCTCGTCAACAAGGGAGAGGTTGGTCATTCTACTTAGGCACTATGTTTGTGGCACTGTAGTTTCAGTACGAGTATATTCATGCTATCATGGCATCCAGGTCACTATGGACTCTGTCACTGCACTATACTAGGTAACATTTATATGAGATATAGAGTAGTTTTCTGTCAATGCAGGCTTGTGCAGCAGTTTATGCCTTAAATTATTTAACTACTCAAACTGCAGTTAGACACCTGAACAGTTGTAAGCCTGACAGCCAAGATTAAACCTCCTATACTTCTGGACTCTTACATGTCAAATTCAAGTATGTTATGACCAACGGCGAACTTTGAGAAGAACGTCCTCCCAGAGGAACCATTGGGAGTTCATTGTGCTCTTCTCCTTTGCAGTTCTCCTTTCACATGGCTGCAGCATCAAGCAACAAGCAGCAATAGAAGAGTTTTTGAACACATTGTTTTCTATGTAGTGTGCACCATATCCAAGGAAAGTCTGTGACTAAAATCTTCCCAGAGCCTCTTGTTTTTGTTTGCAAATATTTATCTTTATGTTGGCCAAGATTGTAGTTTTATTTTCATATCCCTTTTGTGGCCTGAGGTAAGGTATTCTGCATACTTATATTCTGAATGTGTTCAGTAACTTTATGGCATAACAATTTCATAATATATGTATATGTTGCATAACTGTAAAGGGACATGATATGAAATTAAACTTTGACTTACTTGATAAGGGGCAATGACTGAGCAGATGATGGCATATACGGTGTAGACTGCACAGACAGAAAATGATCCACACGATGTGAACATGCCAAAAGATTCTTCATTTTCCCAACAACAAGGCGAGGTTTGTTCAATTCATCCTCCTCTAGGATCACATCATATCTGGTTTCACAGATGCCAGCAATGTCTGACTGCATAAAAGACTTCATTTCATTATAGCAGTAATCTACAGAACTGAAAATCTATGCCACAGATAAACTACTGTTTTACAATATTTTAGTGTCAACGTTTGACTTTACACAATCTTGCTGGTCTCAGAGTTTATCCTTTGTGAAATGTTGTACTTATATCTTACCACCATGACTTGCTATCAGATTTGCACTTGATAAACAGATTTTATTAAATGCAATAGGTAAAAATCTAGTTAAAATATGATTCCAAAACTATGTAAGGAACACCTGGGCAATAAGCTATATCACTTCAAATTTACAGCTTAAATCAATTATGTTATCCTCTTAAACATTAAGTGGATCAGAAGACACCACAGACAAAGAGTTACAGAGCTTAAAAATATTTATGGTAACTTGTCACATATGCTATTTGTTATGAGAAATAAAAGAAAATGCCTTATACTACCATATAAGTATACAAAGCAGCTTATATGGTAGTACCATAGACCATGTCAATAAGATAAGAAATTATATATTTCAAGACTGTTATGCAGATGCTGATATTTGTTTACACCAGAGTCCACATTCAATGTCCCCTTGAAAGCATTAAGCATATATCCTTCAGTTCTTGATTATTTTCATGTTACTAAAGTTGAGATCGCCCTGATTTTGCAATATCATAGGAGTTTTAATCATAAATTTAGCTGTACAGATTATTACACTACCCAGCACTGACTAAACAAACTTGGAGTGGCCCTATATGGTCTCAATACCAAAAGCATCATTAAATAACCTCCCTTCCCCCTCACAAATAGAAGTAGGCACAAGCAAGGAAAATGTAATATGCATCTTTTCCTTATTATGGATGATCTAGTCTAATATGGAACAAATTAAAATAATATGTCAATACAACTAAAGACATCAATAGTACCAATGATGGGACCAAGATCGTATATAAAGTACTATTCCAATATTCCATTACAACAATGAATTTAGAATAAAAGTAAAGCTTCTGCCATTTCTCAGATTATTTGCTAACTTGGGGTGCAAAACCAGAACCATGCCAACTTTGTTCAAAGTAATCTCTGTAATAGAAAGTACACCTAAAATTGAAGACATGAAGTGGCTTAACATGTATTTTCTGCATAATCTGTGGTATATTTCACTTCACCTCATAATGCCTCTCCCTAGCAGAAGAGAGATCATGCATGGTGTTCTGGAATGCCGATAGGATACCCCGCTTGATATTGAGAACCCATGCTGGGTCATCACCTGGACACAGTTCATCCACTGTCCCATCTTGAAATGAGAAGTGAAGGGAGTTTTTCTGTAGTAGAGCAGCAAACTGTGCTGATCTTGTAACACTGCGAATGTCCCCAGTTTTGAGCTCAGAGTCTGCCAATTGCACATTTTCCAACTGTAAAAATATACATTCTATTACATGTATTTGTGGCAATTATTTTGCTTCCAATTTTTTTTTACTACTACTTTAGCAGCAGGCTAGTCCTTGTTTCATTATAGAAATTTAAATGGTAATCCATGAATTGTGTTAATCTGACTGTCCTCTAATTAAACAGAGAGTAATTGCAAGCATTATGAATTACTGTAATGGTGATTCACATACTGTTCAGAAATATAGGTAGTTTGAAACTTGAAAGAGCAATAAACTTGCAGGTTCACTGAAAATTCATAGTCCCCTTTTTAAATTAGTATGAAAACAAAATCATGTATATTTAACACTGACACAGTTTTATACCAAACTCTTTCCATATCTATGTTTATTATTTACTTTGCTGCTTAATAAGACATTCATTAAATACCTGTAGGACAAAGTCACATTCAGACAATATGTGAAAATTTGCAGTGGCTGAAAGATGGAGCTGTGACTTTTCCTTCGTGGCCCCTCGAATAGATGTTAAGGTACTCGCTGTGTAGTCATATACATATGTTGTTCCTGGTACATATCTGAATTTGTTTCCACCTAGAAGGATCGCAAATTAAACCTTAATGACTGCTTTCTTTATCCAGTAAAATACCTTCAATGTGACCTACCAGAATTGATTTAGATCAGAAAACTAGGATAGACTCTTCAGTTCCTCCCACATTTACTTTAAAATGCCTAATATTTCAGCACTGTGGCCTCAGAAATTCCATGTTCATTTTGTTGCTGGTACAGACATAAGCATATAAACATGGTGTCTATCCTTCAGTTACATGACATTCTTATCAAGCCTCGTGATAACTGAGCAATTGGTTCAAATATTTTAGCAAACACAGTGATATATAGGAAGAAGGAAGAGGGCTAAGAAGTAGGCCTGAAAATAGCATAAACTTTCTATTTTTGTACAAATAACTCCAGTCTCAAGGTAACATCCACTACATTTCAGATTACAAGGCAAAACTAATAATTCGGTTTTTTCAGCATGTAGAATTTACCTCTACAATTGATTCTCTTAATTTGTTCCGATTTTGGTACAATCAGCAGGCTATAATAAATTGTGTGATAGGTCTACATGTGTAAATATTATGAAAACGAGCCTTGTTTAGTTCTAACAACACTGGTCTACAAACTTGCTGTAGAACATATGAAAACAATGATGAGAGTCAGAAAATTCTGAACTGTGGTCTTGAGCAAGGAGCAAGAAGAACAGCGAGTTACCTGTCATAATATTGGGCCTTTAGTGTATGTTCCAGGTACTCTCCAAACACACATCATGTGGTTTACTGCAAGTTAGCTTGTTTTCTGACACAGAGAGGGACTTGTGGATAAAGAATGAAGCATATAGTCTTTTACAGTGCAGGTCAGAAAAGTCCATCAGTAAGAATACTTTATGCTTTGGCAGCTATTTTGTCAGAACTGGGTAATAAAAACAATATCATAAGCCACAAGCATTGTGATCTTTGTATATTAATCTCTGCAAAAAAATAACTACTACTGCTTGAAGAAAAACCCATGCATTAGTACCTAGCTGCAACATAATATATTTATATGCTGTATATATTGCATCCACTTATGACCTGTCAAGAGTTCCTGGCCGTTACCTGCGTTGGCAGTGGTGAAGAAGTCCATTTCTAAGGTGTTGGCAAATAATGATAGCCATCAGGCTGCCAGACTGTCAGCTTATTTCATCAGTATTGGGGGATTTAAATTTATTTAAATAACCTGAGGAGGGATGGCAGAAAATTTTAAATATAGAAAAAATGCACGCCTGAATTGAAATGATGAGAAATGCCATATTTAATTCAAATTCCATTCTGATGTTGTGAGGAAAGTATCGTAATATCTGCATAATATGATAATGTGACTTGCATTACCTTAGTAATTCAACAAGGTGTGGTAGTCCTTGATGCAATTAAACAAATACTACCATACTTATTAGCATATAAACACCCCAAAAACAATTAATTTTATTCATGGCAATGGTTCCCAAACCACAATGAAAATCTTGGTTTCAACATATCTCCACCTGTGATTTCATGAACTGTTCTCCACAACATCTAACCTTAATTGAGAAATTATTAAAATGGCGTTGTAAGGTAATTTGTGTCCTTCACTGCATTCTGAGCCTGAAGTTCATCTATGAATAGTTCCTCCTGTCCCCTGCAACTGGACAATGTTCCCATTTGTAAGACGTTATTAACTCCACTCTCCATGTCTCTCTTATCACTGTCACAATTATTTACTAATGTGCCAATTAGTGCAAATTATGCATTGAATTTTCACTGTCATTGTCTGAATCTAGCAACCTTTGCTCTGACTATTATTTGTATAAATATGTGGGAACATCCCACATACTTCCACGCTGTTTCACAAGTCTAACAGACAACACTCACTCCTATTTCAATGCCGCACATTGCTGGCAACACTCATATTTATACAGCACTCGAAGTCCAACCCACCTCTAGATCATCACGTGAGCTAATGAATGACATTGCTGTCAGCACTCATATTTATACAGCACTCACTGTCCAGCCCACATTTAGATCATCACGTGCGCTAGCCAATCAGTGTTCACAATTGCAACTGCAAGTTTCGCTCCGCCCATCAAGCATGGTATAAAAGGCAGAGCCCAAAGCTTGCAATAGTCGAATGACAGACCCGACCTCTCGTCAGAGAGGGCGCCCCACATGGACAGGACTGTAACTTTCACTTAAAAAGTAATATCTGGACATGAGCCCCAGCCGGGGCTCGACACCAAGACAGACAGACTGACTGACTGTCAGTCGCAACATGACTTTGACTCGCAATAGTTAGTCATCACATTCAGTTCAGAGCGATCAGTCGTCAGAGGCATCAGCTCTCCTCTGTGACCAGGCAACTGACATAGTTGCTGCAAGTCTCCAGCGACAGGCAACTAACGCAGCTGCCAGAACTCCAGCAACCACACCGTGGGCAGCTGTTTCTACCAGCGCATGCAGCACTACATCACCTGCCAGACAGGCCAGCTGAACGGCCATAAGATTTGGCCTACTACCAAGGAACAAACGGCCTTTTTCAGGGCCCACAAACTTTCCAAAGTGGCTGTCTATTGGAGTATCAACAAATCCCACAAATATCTAAACTTCCAACTCATTATTTTTCTAACAGCATGGCATTCAATTCAATATTGAGACCTCTCATTCACCCCCCCCCATATTTTTTTTTGAAATGAATAAATAATATCAGGCCAAGCTTGTAACGATGTAATGATAACTGTCAAACAACTGGAGTACTTATGTTATGGCAGTACAATCGATGTATGCATGAAAATAAAATATGTACAAGAAGCATCAATTACAGTCAATATATATGCATATATACACAGTCAGAACACTATATGTTAGACGTACCAGCCAACCAGTCATGTAATAGGAATATTTGTCAACAAGAAAAATGTCTGGATACTGAACTTACCTTCAGTCATCACTCAGAGCATGCAACACTATTGAGATATCTTTAAAATTATTAGTGTGAGGTAAACCCAAAGCTGCTGATGTTACTGATAGAGTCAGTACTCTACGTGGATCAATGATGTACAATGTATAATTATACTTGGGCATAATTTACTGAGTACATCCATCAGATATCAGAGTCAATGTGAATTCCAGGCATTAATTTGGTACTCCTCTAATTCAGAAAGTTTTACTTTTTGATGCCAGAAATAAAGAAAGGGAAAAGCATAGAGAAAGATCTGCATTAAATCCAGCAAGACTAGAACTTCAGACCTTTAGCAAATAGTCCAGCACCTTTCTCCTGCTACACCATGAGGTATTACAATACATTATACAGAGTCCATATATAAAAACATCTTTACACCCTGAGCTCTAAATTTTTGGATCTCAGAATCTGAGTACAGTAAATAATGGAGATCATCCTTTATATAAATCTGTACTGACTAATTCCTTAGTTACTTTCCCAGTCATCTTCCATGTGACTTGATTGACATTATCAATGTTTAAGTGTTCACAGTGTCAATAACAGCAACAGAACACAGACTGATGTTTCTGTCAAATAAAGGCAATCTCATATTGCTTATACTGAAACTTCATAAAGAAGGAATGTAACAGCAAAAATTGAAGTGACTATGACAGAATAGGAGTTGCATTTCATGTTTTTAATCCTTATGACACACAACTCTATTTTATTAATAGGGAGCAATTAAACAATCATACTGAATAATGTACATGAACAAGTGTATGAAGCCTAAGAATCAACACACCAAATATTAGTCTGAATAAAAAAACAAATGAAAGTGTACACGAAAATTTTCACCTACGCATCCATAATATTGTGTCAACTTTTTAAGAGATATTCATATATATATATACACATTAAAAAAATAAGCTCTGCATTAAAACAAGAAATGTGACTTCAAAAATTTGTTAACTACAATGTTATCAATAGTAAAAGCAATGACAATTTTCATCTCAGCATTTAAATTAATGCAAAAATAATTTCCTTTCAAATGAACACCATATTAATACTGTGGCTGAGAATCAAACAAACCAGTACAATTAATAGGGTTTCAGAATCAATTCCAAAACAAGGGGATCATTTTTCAGTAAATTATATGTCTAAATAAAATTTTCTTGCTAAAAACTTCTCATAATAAATTTACGAGATTTTTATTTTTTCTATAATTCATACTTTTGCCAGCAGAAAACAGGATGTTGCATGTATGGGTAAAGGCAATGTAATAGTTACCTCTGCAATACCCAGCACACTGATACCTTCCTTCAGTTCTGTGATGTACAGGATCTGTAAGTAAATCAAAAGAAGTAAAAGTTATGAATGAATGAATGAATATACAAGGGGTGGGCATTCTCGGCCTTTGCACCGCTACCTACAGTGATCTATTGTGGTTAAGTTATGTTATACCTTAATGAATTCCACTTTGTTACACAACCTAAGTATATGGATCACAACCATTCTTCATACACTAAACTCTGTCTTTTATGCATCCTGAAGATTCATTATCAACTCCACAACATTCCACCATTTATCCTGATCCTGAGTCAGAAGAATCTAGAACATGGCTTCCCGCAACATATTTCTTTAATGCCCATTTTAATATTACCCTTCTGTAAGATTTTGTAACAAGCACTCCATCCAATGACCCCGAGTGAAGGTTCACTCCCTGTCAGCCATCCATGACTGTCTACTCAATGAGTCTAAAGCTATCCACCATATCCAAAAGAAATCTTCTCAATTTGCCATCTAGGGGCACATCTTGCTGTGGTTGACAAGACACATTTAACATAGATTCTATTATACACCAAATCAGTTTACTAACAACATATCCCGTTTCATAGAGTCAATGGCATCGATAAACTTCAAAATATTACCAAAATTTAAGTTGGCAGATTTGTGCAATGAAACTTGTTAAATAAATTCTCTTATATAAAATGTGTACATGCATTAAACTGACAGACTGTTCCACGTATAAATCTGAAGGAAACCCAGACTGGTAAATTAGAAATTCTATGTTATCATTGTCACTAGTTTCTGCATTTTCCTAACCTTTAAGTTTTAATTTAATCTCAGTATCACACAAAAGTTTTAAATATTATTTCAATAAATGAAGTAAGGTATAAAATTATGGACTTAAATTGAGAAGAAATAAAATAATTTCTACTCTGTAGACACAGATCAAAGTTGAATTGAAACAAAAAAAAATGTATCTGAACTCGTTTGTTAGTCCATTGGTCTAAAAAGAATTTGCAACTATTGTTATTCATAAAGACTTACATTGTAATAAGATGTTGAATGTCAAAAAACACAACAAACGACTTTTGGGAAGAGTAGCCAAATTTTTTAGATCAAAAGGGATACAACTACACCATTTTCATGCAATGGGAGACTGCTGTGCAGTGAGACCTCTATGCATCACACTACACACTTTGAATAGCAGGCCACAGCTCAAGGAACTAAAACTATACAGAATGGCTGTTGGTTCAATGTATATACGTGTAAATGTATATAAATGCACGTATAATAGCTAAGTATATAGTGAGAATCAGTCAGAAGGACAGCAACTATACATGTGACCTTATTACCTTATGTCTGAAGCAACTTTAGCTCCAAAGCAGTACAAAATACTCTTTTTTTTTAGTTGCATTCCTACAGTTTTAGGTGTGTGTGAATTAGGAAATGCATGTACTTTTCACTTACAGATAAGAATCTGTATGAGCTGGAAATAAGAAAGCCTTGCAGCAACTTAAGAGCCTACATTTCTTTAAATACTTCGTCCTCAGTACAGAGGGCTGAAGAAATTAATTCATAATTATGCAAATTATGGCACATGGTAGCGTAGTTGGTTGAAGCACTATGCTACAAGCCGGAAGGTCGCAGGTTGAAGTCCCGATGAGGTCATTGGAATTTTTCAATTGACCCAGTCCTTCCAGCTGCACTATGGCCCTGGAGTCAACTCAGTCTCTAACAGAAATGAGTACCAGGAATATTCTGGAATATTTTTGAGAGTAAAGGGCGGCCGGCGTGTAGGGCTGACAACCTATGAGCCGATTGGCTAGAAAATGTGGGAACCTCAACATCTCACAACCCTATGGGCCTCCACGGCCTATTACAGGGATACCTTTATTTTTAACTTTTTTTAATAACTCATTTCTGTACATAATGACCGCCTCTGTAGTCTAGTGGTCAGAGTTCCTGGCTACAGATCCAGAGAACCATGTTCGATTCCTGGGCCTACCAGATTTTCTGAGAAGTGGGTCTGGAACGGGGTCCAATCAGCCTCATGAGGATAACTAAGGAGCTATTTCAAGGAAATAGCGGCTCTGGTCTAGGAAACCGAAATTAACGGCCGGGGGTGGGGGGGTTCGTTGCGCTGACCATGCGACATTCTCTATCCCCTAAAGTTAGCACTAAGTTCGCCGACAAGCGGCGGTCGGTAGGTCGGTCGGTATAGCTCGTTTGGGAACTAAAACCATGGATTTTTTTTCTGTACATAATTTCCAATAGCATAAATGCCCACAAGTTTCTGCACTATTATGTCATGAACACCACTAAAACTGGTTTATATAATGCTCAATTGAAGAAGATTTAATGATTTCTTAGTCTAATAAAAGTCTTTTAAACACAAAAACAATCGATCACTGTACACAAATAAAAATTAACCAACCATAATCTCACTTTTGGAATGCTGTTATGGACACTGGCAATGCACACACATGTGCAAGTTCAGATAGTAAGAATAAATGTGTGATTTTTTTAGTTGTAGTGGTGACAGAGGCGGTGCAGATTAAAGGATCAAAGCTTATAAGTGCTTGTGAAGCAGTGGAAGAACGAAATGCTATAAATGATAACAAGGAAAGTTGTGGGTCCTAAAATGCGTTACTGCTCATGCCACTGACTACGGTCCCTTAAAACAAGGTAAAGTCATATTTTAATATAAAACTTTTCTTTCCTACTAGTAAAATTTACTATTTAAACAATGAAATAATCCATGGCATGAGGTATGTTTGAATAGGTTCCATTAAAAACGACAACTTTAAAGAAAACATACATTCAAAGTATTGTAAAATTGATACATACACGTAGTTCATGCTGATTTGCAACTCAAGAGATTTTACATTTTTATATACCATGTTTCTATTTCACATGTTCAAAGTTGTAATAAGGAAATGGGTTCAACTCCATTATACAGAATACCTTATAAATCCTTTATGTTCACGGAAGTGCTGAAAATGATGGGATCATCAAATGGAGCTGATATATGCATGCTTCCTTTTCCCTTGTCCACAATTCTATGAGCGAACAATTTACGGTAAGCTCTCAAATGACTGCACTGTATCATTTTACTGTGCAATAAAACATTTTAGTTTCTTTTCTATTTTCTGTCCATTGCAAAATCAGCTCCAACAATTGAATATATTAAAATGAAGCCCCAATAACAAAGAGGAAAAGTAAGAATTTGGAAAACACAAATAATTCACAACTAAATTACAGTTACTGCACCTATGCCAGATATCCAACTAACCTATCTGTCACTGAATATACAGTTCAACCTAGCCTGTTACACCTAACATACGGTTTCCAACCATTTACTTATTTAACAAAATAAGCAAAATTACTCAGAAGTTGCAGGTAAAAGTTCACTTTGGCCATTATAATAACGAAATTGCAAACCATACCAAGTTTCATCTAAATGAGTCAAATACTTCTTGCCTTGGCATACGAGGTTAAGAGGGCATCTTGAAACCATTTGGGGTCTCAGATTCTTTTAAACGTGTTCAAGAGAACATTGATCAAAAAGCGAAGCTTTAGTTATGATTTATATAAAAAAAGTTTTTCTGGAATAGGATACAGAAAGATGGCAATTCTGTCACACAGACGGTCTCATTGTCACATGTCACTTTTACGCATTGGGTTCTGGGCATTCAAACAAGTAAAAGGGTTCATATGAAAATATGTCCTCAAGGACTCCCTTAAGACGTTCTAACCGTTATAAAATGTGAACTCCTGCCGTCACATTCTGGAAAACCAACGTTCCGAGAGCCCTTCATGTAGCATGGTGATCATATAGGTCCATTTTATGACGAGCGTTGTGTTAATGTTAACAGTACTTGACAATCTGACTCAGAATATGGAGTACTGGACGGTATGCATACAGCATACGTGTTATATTTCGAGTCAGCCTAAAGCAATTCTAAGCTTTGGAAAGCAGGTTACATATCGATCCTTAATTAACATACATGCATCTTTTGCTAAGTGCAAAAAAACTGCTGCATATGTTGATAGAAGAGACAGAGAAGAATATCTTATTCGGAGAATGTCAAATCATCATAGTTTCCTTTCTGTTGACCGCCGACTCCTAGAGTAGGCAACATTTCGCGGGAAGCTTGGGGTGTAGACCGTCTGCGTTCGGTATGTAATGTACGGGTAGTGAAGCAGATCCTCGTAGCGGAAAGATAGCCTACCATCAATTCTGGACACTTGCAGAATGCTTCTAAACACCGTTCATTGCATTTGTATCCCTATCACCAGTACTGGACGATGTACCTGCAAGACGGGCATCCTAACAATGGGCTGTGGAACAACTGGCCTAAGATCCTACGTTTACAGCACAGGTATTATTCACGGAAAAACTGTCCTTTTTATATTATTATAGGTTGGTTATTTAAGGACGTGCCGGTCATGGTAGCCGAGCGGTCTAAGGCGTGCACTGTCTTCGCTCGCTCGGAAGCCGGGATCGTAGGTTCGAATCGCACTCAGGGCATGGATGTTGTGCGTTTTTCTGTGTTTGTGTACAGGTACAGGCCTTGCGACGAGCTGATCACCCGCCAAAGGAGTCCTACCGTATGTCTAAGATCTAGAAAAGCCGATGTGAACGGAGAAGTTCATGAAGGTAGGCCTAGGCCCACTGGGGCTGTAGTGCCAAGGGAAAAAAAATTAAGGACGTACGTGATGAGATTAAAATCCTCATGCGATTCGATCTCGTCATCAGCAAAAACAGTTTTCCAACAACTTGTGTGGTGACATTTTTGGAGACTAATTCATAAGCCCTCATATTTTGCCGACAAGAATTGGTGGCAGCGATTACTTTTCTCCACCGAGCACACTTGAAAGGATAACTGGAGACGCGTCCTTCAATTTGCGTCTTCACGTCTGTTGCAATATAGCGGTGTTCAAAACATTAAAGTTGTAAATTGCATCACCAGTCCGAAAATTATCCTGAACACTGGATTGGTGGGGGGGAGTAAAGCTCAAGTTTTCTCGACTGCCCGCTCACCTTCTGAACT